TGAAAGAAACAGAAGGCAGACAGGACATAAAGAGAGACAAGACAGGAGATGGGTCACTGGAAGGCTGTTCCCTGCGTGAATACCTGGGAGAAACAGACACAAGACACGGGGGAGGCCCAACAAAGGGGCCCACTCAGGTGCTTGCCTGGCCAATGGGAAACTTAGCCGTAGTGGATCAGCCAAAGGTGACTTGCGGCCGACGTCTAAGTCAGCACCACCATAGACCATATGTTTCCCGTGGAACCGCAGGCAGCCCAACCGGATTCCGTAGCCTTTTCGGGGACCTTAAGGGTGCCCAGCCGTGGAACCACAGACTCGAATCAGAAGCGAGGACGCCTCTGACCGCTCATTCACTCACACACACATTCCACAAAGGACACGACAAAGGGGCGCAGGGGGGCCTTATCCAACCCAGTGACTGTCTCATATACCTCATATGAGACTGAACACTCAATTCTCCCCTTATACCACCCCGTCAACCTCTATAACGAAGCAGGGGCTAATACCCACTCGACCTCGAACGAGATGGGTATTTTTGATTAGGCGCGCACTTACCTTTCCGTGCGTCCCGGTGGCCACCGCTTCCTGAAGGGGAGTTCGGAGGTCATCTCCCAGACACCGCCCCGCGTGGGCGCCAGTTGCGGGGGGCCCCGCCAGACCACTCTCCGGCCTGCGGAGGTGGCCCTAGGATCCGTAGGTGCTGGGAAGGACCGACTGAATGAACACGAGACACAAGAGACACAAGACACTTGGAGCTGAATGAGAGTGTGATGGGGATGATACTTGCCTGCATGGGGTCTCCCGAATACTGACAGGAGTGACCCCTGAGCACAGCCAGGAGTTGCCCCTGACCGAAGGGTGTGTCCCCAAAACCAACAGCTAAAGAGAAAAGATGGAACTTTCAAAGCAAGAGAAAGAGCAAAGTGCACATCTCTAGCGGCTGTCCTCTAAACCCTGTCTCGGGCGGTCAGCTGGCTCCTTACCCCAGCCCTGCCACTTCCTGCTCTTTTTCACAATGACCTTCAGAGGGCGCCACATTCCCGGGCACCCTCGACTTTGCTGCCAGCCAGTGGGGCACTTAGGACCAAAGGTGGGCTGCAACCTTGAATCTCAGAGGTTGAAAGGGAAGGGTGAGTCTCTGTTGCTGCTGAGTGCTGCAGCTGAGTCCTCTCAGCTCCCTGTCGGCTTAATTCCTGCACCTTTTCTGCTTGTGAGTAGGATCTGAAACAAGCCGTGAGATTTGCTGGGGTCCTGGCGGGAAGAAGGGGGAGGGCTGCATCTCCAGTGTCACTTATTCCTCTGAATCCAGAAGTGTGTCAGCTCCATCAGACAGAGTGTTTCCCAGGTAGGAGGGATTGGTCATCCAAACAGTGGCCTGCCTGAGGACAGTGGGAGAGAGTCGGAGACCGAACGACCCTGGACAGAACCTCCTGTAGGACCTCTGACCCTGTGTGTCCCAACCCTCCCTAACCACAGCAAAGGACTGTAGAGGAGAGCCCAGTACATCTTAGTCATGTACCCCTGGGTGTGGTCTTGATGACCACTATAATGCTCACAACGACCACCCAACATAGTCCCATCCTCCTACATCCATCCACCCACCCACCCACCCATCCATCCATCCACCCACCCATTTACCCACTCACCCATCTACCCATCCACCCACCCACCCACCCACCCACCCATCCATCCACCCATTCATCCATCCACCCATCCTCCCACCTATCCATCCATCCATCCATCCACCCATCCATCCATCTATCCACCCATCCGTCCATCCTCTTTCCTCCACCCATCCACCCACCCATCCATTCACTCATCCACCCACCCATCCATCCACCCACCCAACCACTCACCCATCCACCCACCCACCCATCCACCCACCCATATATACACCCATTCACCCACCCACCCAACCTTCCCACCCACCCATCCATCCATCCACCCACCCACCCGTTCATCCATCCATCCATCTATCCTCCCATCCGTCCATCCTCTTTCCTGCACCCATCCATCCAGGTGTGGATCATTATTACTTTCACCATCCAATACTCAATGTAGCTAAGTGTCCACCTCTGGTTCTGCAATGATGCTGTGTGCAGTGGATAAGAGGAGATGCAGGGACAGAGGACACACAGCATGCATGGAGTTCAGACAAGGTACATCACAGGCCTGAAGTTGGCAGATGTTTGAGTAGAAGTTTCCAGAAAGTGGAGCAGGAGAACCAGAATGGTACAGGCAGAGGAACACCTCCAGACTGTGAAGAGGTCTTGGGGAAGATGCTTTGGGGAGGAGCGCCAAGGTTGGGAGCAGAGGTCAGGGCCCAGGGGCAGGGGGCAGTGAGCCGGCTGTCTCTCAGACAGTCCCTCCATGGAAGGCTGAGCTCTCTCTGTCCCCTCTGTGCCATGGGTCAGTCTTGGCTCCTGCTGCAGGACCACATGGGCTGAAGTGTTGCTGGGAGCTGCCACTAGAGCCGTTAGCTGGGTGGACAGGCTGTGACAAGGGCTGTTTGAGTGTCCTGGGTGAGGTTGCTGCCAGCCGGTGTGCTGGTCAGCCTCACATGGACACCACCTGCCCCTTCCGCTGTACCCCTGGGCTCGTGCACGAGCCTCCCTGCCGGGAAGGGCCAGGGCTGTCTGCCCCTGCTCCGACCGGCTGGAACCAGGCCTGCGGGCTGGCCTCTGCCCCTCCTGCTGGTGGCCTGTCTCCTCTCTCCTGCCTCCCCTCCTTTCTCGGGATGGGGGCTGTGCGCTGTGGGGGGAACAGGTGTGTGGGTGTCTCACTGCGAGGGCCTTTCCTGGAAGCTCCTGGCAGAGCTTGAGTCACTGGGCCCGCCGAGCCCCAGGGCAGAAGCTGCACAGCTGCTGTGAGCTGTGGGCAGGGCCCCGCATCTCTGGGCCTGACAGCAGCTGTCCCTCTGTCCCTGTGGACACCAGCAACCGGTCCTGAAGGACTGTGGCAGTGACTGTGGGGACGGCCGCAGGTGAACCTGTTTTAGGTGCCCGCGAGCAGCTGATGGTGCCTTAGCCCAGGATGCAGGAAACTGAAGGAAGGGCGAGGGCCGATCTCTGCTCCCACACACGCCCCTGGCTGGGGGGTGGCACCGTGCCCTTCCCCTCAGAGCCCTGATTCCAGGCCTGGCCCTGGCACTGGGGCCGCTTCCCTCTCGCGGCTGCCTGGCTGCCGTCCGTGACGCCGCCTCACAGCAGGACGAAGCCTGGGCGACCCTGTCCATCCGGCTCCATGAGCTCCGAGCCTCCCAGTGGGGTCTCCTAGCAGGCAGGGAGCCGGGGACCGTGCACGGGGCAAAGCCAGCTGGAGGGGGCCGTGGGCTGCTGTGGGGTACGCGGGGAGCACCCAGTCTGGGAGCATGAGGCCCTGGGGTAGGTCGTGGTGCTGGGGGAGCCCAGGGGTTTGCATCCAGACTGGCGTGAGTCGAGTGCTGCGGCCCCTGCGGAGGCCCAGACTCAGTGTCCATGACTGCGCCCCATAAACCCAGAGGCACCCTGTGTGCTAGGCTTGCCTGTTCCTGCCCGGTCATCTGGAGCAGCCGCCCCCACAGCTTTCATGTGGCACAGTGATGCGGGGCAGGAGACACTGGCCAGGTGGCCGCTGGACGGTGTCCCCTGAGCTCCTCTGACAGTTTCGGCTGCAGGGTGAGGGGCGGGTGGTGAGAGTCTGGCTCCCTGGAGAGATGACAAGCGTTTGGCTCCGGCTTCTCGCTGGCATCAGTGCCCGAGGATGCTGGGCGTGCCAGGACAGCTGGACGGGACCTGGAAGCCTCCGGAAGGGGCGAGCAAGGAGACATGAAGCCAGCGGGGTGGCAAAGCTTTGGGGATGGGCAGTTCGTGGCCCCGGGCGAGTACCCACAAGGCCCGACTAATGGAGAGGGAGGGAGGCTGCGCGCGCCCATGCCCCAGGAACAGCCGGCCGTTCCTGCCGCCCCGGCAGCTTTCATGTGGGGCAGGGGCGTGGTGGCACCCGCCGGACCCCCGGCGGGGGCTGGCGATGTCGGGGGCTCCTGCCCCCAGCCTCTCTGCACCTACGTGGCCCCTGCTTCCTGCTGACCACGGGTGGCTACGCAGGGTGGGCTGGACCGAGCGGGAGTGGCCTCCACACGCGGCCACCCAGGCTTCTCCCTAGGACACTGTCCCTCTGCTGACCGCCCCCCCCAGAAAGGCCCCCTGGAGGCCTCAGACATGGCCCCACCTCCCCCAGCCCCTCCCACCCAGGAAGGCCAAGAGGGTGGTGACCCCCAGGGAGGAGGACAGTGGCCGCAGGCTGAGGGGGGACAGCGAGAGGCCGGCCGCTGGCCCTCAGGCGGGGCTCCCGGAACACAGGTCCCTGCTCTCGGGGTCTCAGGGACGGTCCCACACCCCCACCCAACAGTCTCCCCGGGGCCAGACCCCTGGGCAGAGACGATGGTGGAGCTGCTCTGGGACCCACCGCCCTCCCCACACTGCCCCACGCAGCTGCCCCGCCGAGGCGGGAGGCGGTGACCGTGCGAGGTCCCCAAGGTGGGACTTCTCCTTCTGGAGGGTCCCCAGTTGTGCTCCTGCCCGGCTGCCGGGGCTGGGCCCAGTCAAGCATCTTTGCGGAAGCCCCTGCCCCCAAACTGATCCAAGTCCCCATGACAGCTGTGAGGGGCCGCTGTGGGGCGGGGGTCCCGGAAGGGGCTGGGGGGCGCTGGGCCGAGAGCTGGGAGTTCTCATCCTTTGGGCCCAAGACCTCAGCCCAAGTGTGACGAGCGGAGGGCATGACAGGAGAGAGAAGCTTCTGGAAGCACAGGGAGGTGTGTGGGGGCGCAGGGGGACTGGGCAGCGGCCCGTGGTCTTCTGCTGGATGCCTCTGAGTCAGGGGCGCAGGAAGCTGCAGAGCGGGGAGGGCCTGTGGGCGGGAGCCGAGACTGCCCGAGGCCCTGGCTGCCCTTCCGGCTTTGCCCCCGGCAAGGCCAGGCGGTGACCATGGGTGCGGGACCTGGGCTCGGCACAGAACCCGCCATGGGCCAGCTGCTCCTGCTGCTGCTGCTCCTGCTGCCGCTGCCGGGCCTGGAGGCCAAGAGGAAGGAGGCCATCTGGGTCTTCGTGGTGCCGCACAGCCACATGGACGTGGCCTGGGGCCAGGTGGGTCTGGCGGGCACTGCTCAGGTGCGGCAGCGCTCATATGTCCGGGTGACAGAGGGAGTCTCATGTGGGCATATCAGCCTGAGGGCCAGCTGGGGCAGGTTCCAGCGCAGACACAAGATGTGTGCCTCAGTTTCCCATCTGTGCTGAGGCGGTGAGAGGCAGCAGAGGTCATTGGTTGACCACAGAGATCTGGGCAAGCAAGGTCATTGTGCAGACCTGGGTGCCCCGAGCAGGTCATGGGCCCCTCCTGCCCACAGTCCCCTCTGCAGGGCAGCCCCAGCCTGGGCACCTTTGTAGCCTTTGGACCTGGTCTGCGGGACCCAGCCCTGTGGCCTGCCCATGTTTGCACTAACGACACCCTAAGGGGCCTCCCCGCCCTCCTGACCCGATACCTACTGTTGTCTGTGCTTAGGCTTTCCCCACGGGGTGAGGCAACGCGGTCAGCCCGTCTTCAGGAGCGTCTTGGTGGCATGGCAGGTGCTCCATGGATGTGTAGGCGAGTGTGTGTGCATGTGTGTGTGAATGTGTGAGTGTGTACATGACTGTGAATGTGTGTGGAGAGTGTGTACATGAGTGGGTGAGTGTGAGTGTGTGTGTGTAGGTGACTGAACATGGTGTGTGAATGTGTGTGTAAGAGTGTGTGCATGAGTGAGTGTGTGTGAGTGTGCATGAATATGTGAAAGTGTGTGAGTGTGGGCATATGAGTACTTGTGAATGTGTGTGTATGAGTGTGGGTGAGTGTGTGCGCGAGTGTGTGAATGTGTGTGCATGCACGAGTCAGTGTGTGTGTGAGTGAGTGGAATGAGTGGAGTGAGGGAGGGAGGGAGGAGGACGGTGGAGGGGATGGGAGGAGGGTGAGTGACACATAGGCGGAGACCTTCAGACTCTGGGTCAGCCTAAGATATTGGTGCAAGGGCCTGGGCTTCCTCATGGACCCAGCCTGGGGGCAAGTGAGGCCCCCGCAGGGCCCAGACACTGGGCAGCGGCCCTCAGCTGAGGGCTCCACACCTTGCCTCTCACTTCATCCTCCAGTTGTTTTGGGGGGAGGTCACAGACCCCAGGTCCTCGTGTGCGGCTGGTTGTTAGGCCACTTCCTTGCATCCTCGGTCTTACAGCCTTGCCCCATCTATGGAGGTCTTTGTCAGATTCCCTGTACCCGCATGGTATTTGCTCAATTTTCTCGGCTCTATTCTTTTCTCGATGAATTTGTCAGGGAGCACTGCTCGCCTGCACCGTCAGCTGGGGCCTGGTGTGCTGAGTGCCCTCGGGTGTCGGTGAGATGAGCAGTGGGGTCCTGCTCGCGGTGGCCTTGCTGGGCTAATGTGGCTGGGCCCTCCTCCAGGAGAACATGCTCACATACGCGTCCAACGTCTACACATCTGTGGTGGGGGCACTGATGCAGTCCAAGAAGCGCAGGTTCATCATCGTGGAGCAGGCGTATTTCCGGATGTGGTGGGACGGAGTTGCCTCAAAACAGCAGAAACGTCAGGTACCACTGGGGGCCTCGGAGGAGAAGCGGCTGAATGCAGGCCAGGGGGAATGGTGACACTAGCCCCTGTCTCCGTACACATTTGTCATCAGGCAGAATGAACAGTGGTCCCAGACCATGGTCCCTGTGGACAGAACTCCTATCTGCTCCTTGCTGAACACCCAGTTCCTTCCCAGGGCCGACGTGTAGTAGGTGCTGATTTAAACACTTCCAAGTGGCTGATCAACTGATGCTTATTGAGGAAAGAAACTGAAAACAACCCACCTTTAGAAAGCATTCGAACACTCAACCAATGAAAGGGGGCTGACACTCTTTGGAATTTGCTTATAAGTTCTCATTTATAAGTCTTTTATTACATAAGGACGTATTGTGACAAAGTGGACCGGGGTTCATCGTATTTACCTATAAGATAATTGTAAAACACACTCCAAATAAAGCATGGTCTACAGGTCCAGTGTGATCATACTTACACGTGAGAAAAGAGAACAAGGGAACCTTCTTGCTAAAGGCCACGGAGAGAATGAAATCCTACAGAGAAAAGGAGCACGGCATGGGTCAAGTTAAAACAGAGCCGATGCACCCAAAGTGCACTGCATTATTGATTGTTAAGTTCCCATAATTAAAATGAGGCTAATCACTTTGATGACTGTCAAGAAACAAAATACATGCTTGTTTTTGTGCATGTAGAAATGATATAATTGATTATGCTTTGATATGGAAATGGATGAAAGAAAATGGGTGAGTGCTAAATCAGGTGGCTAGTTTTATAGCAATGATGGAACCTGTAGAAAACCTCTGAATACTGTTTTTGGAGTCTCTCTCACTGTGACATCATGTCAAAGGACGTGCGTGTGTGTGTGTGTAGAGGAAGCACCAGCCCGGACAGGGTGCTGCAAGCCGGTGGGACAGTGTGGGGGCCAGGATAAACCACTCCTGCATTTTCGGGGTGAACAGTGTGAGGGTTGGAGGGAAGTAGCCCAGAGATGAGGCAATGTGTCCCAGCTCTGACCAACCTTGGGGTTGTCACTGGCTTTTTCTGTGTCTGCGCTATGCCAAGGTTCGTCGGCTCCTGAACCGGGGACGCCTGGAGTTTGTCACAGGAGGCCAGGTGATGCATGACGAGGCAGTGACACACATGGATGACCAGATCCTACAGCTCACAGGTGGGTTCGTCCAGTCTCAGCCGAGTCCTCGGGCCTGCCGCGGGGCTGGGATAGAGGAACCTGGATTGAGACAGTGGTTTTCTGGTGCGGTCTTCACAGTTCTCAGGGTTACACATGGGCCTGTGCTTTATTTATTTATTTATTTATTTTTATTTATTTAATATTAATGAATCACCGTGACAGACTCACAAACTTTTGTGTTTACATTTCTGTAAACACTTCATATAATGATCGAGTACCCATTCCTCAACCAGTGCCCATTCCGCCCCCCCTCCACCTCTGTGGCAGGTGGATTCCCTATTTACTCTCTCTCTCCTTTAGGGTATTATGGTCTGCAATGTGGGCATTAAGTGGCCATCCTGTTCAGTCTTTAGTCTGCTCTCAGTACACATCTCGCTTCCCTAGCAGGTCTTCCAAGCATCCTTTACTTGGTGTTCCCTTCTCTATCTGAACTGCCTTTTCCCCCAGCATGTGAGGCTGGTTTCCAGGCCATGGAGCAATCCTACAGGCACATGCTTTAGGCTCTTGAGGCCCCTAACCCCATGAAGGGACACACTGAAAAGGGGTGAGCCTCACATTATCTCAACCCTTCCAAACCACAGCTGATGTATGTCTCCAGGTGGCCAGTGCATTTTACGGGGATAAGTAAAATACTTTGTAGTATGTTGTTCCCTAAAATGATGGATAGATTCTACCCTCACCAACTCTACCATTACCATCACCACCATGATGTCACCACTGTCCCTGCTGTTAGCTACTCAGGGGCCACCACCTCCATCCCCTGCAGTGCCCTGGGGATGGCCCTGCCATACCCTACCAGGGACTCACCACTGCTAACATTGTCCCGACATCGGGATGCTGTTCTGGTGTCCACTATCAACATGACTATTCCCTGTGGCAGTGGCCTCAGTCCCAATCCCTCCACCATTACCTCCACAGTCGCAGCACACGATCACCATTGTCAGCACCAAGAGGTGCCACTGCGACCACCCACACGACATATCACCCCCTCTATCACTACCCCCGCTTCATTCCTCTCCCGCCTGCATCATCACCATCCTCTCTGCCGGACTCTTGGCTCACGGCCACCTGCCCCCGTTCGCACTGATGTTGGCTGACGGGCCCCTCCGCGTTTGAGACTGCGGGCAGGGTTCTGGAGAACACCCCAGACCAACCCTAAGGCTTCCTTCTCCAGCAGTGTCAGAATCAACCCCAACTGCTGGCCGTAAAGAATTTCTTTTTATCTATTTTTTTTTAATGTAGGAGTACTGCTATTCATTCAGCCATTGATTAGGCTGATTGAATTTTGCATGAAATCCATCTTACTTCCCCCCCCCCCATTTTTTATAATTTTATTTATTGAATCACTGTGAGAGCAGTTGCAAAGCTTTCGGGTTTAAGTTTCAGTCATACAATGAAACACCCATACCTTCACCAGTGCCCATTCTCCACCACCAAAAATCCCAGTATACCCCCATCCCACACCCTCCCCCTACCTGTGGGGCAGATGATTTCCAAATCACTCTCTCTATACTTTGATCACATTTAACATTTTGACACCACACCCACAATTATTATTTGGGATTTTGGCCGTAAAGAATTTCTAATGGAAGAAAAACTGTTGAAACCATGGGCCGGAGGTAGAAACTCATCTGCCCGTGGGTTCGAAGAGAAAGAGAGAGACAGACTGAACAGGTTGACCCGAGAAATAGAAATATTAGGGCCGGAGGGATGGGTGGGGCGAAGGCACGGGTCATGCGTGCAGCTGGGTTGCATCCTGGCACCCAATAGTCCTCTGGGCGCCCCCGCAGAGATCCCTGAGTGTGGAGACAGGAGGAAGCCCTGAGCACCCCTGGCTGTGGCCGACAAACAAAATGAATGGCTTCTGCCAGGCTGGCTTCCTGCCTGTCCCCCTGTGCCACAGCTCGCCACGTGGCCGTGAGGGTTTGGTGAGTGCGCTCCTCACCGCGGGAGCCCTGGGTGTGTGCTCTCTCGCAGAAGGACACGCGTTTCTCTATGAGGCGCTCGGCGTCCGGCCACAGTTTTCCTGGCAGGTCGACTCGTTCGGCGCCTCTGCCACGACCCCCACCCTCTTCTCCCTGGCGGGCTTCCAGGCCCATGTCATCTCCCGCATCGACTATGACCTGAAGGAGAACATGCAGAAGACCAAGGTGTGTGGAGCCCGCTGTGGCTGCCCACCCATTTCCGTGCCCCTTCGCAGGCTGGGCCTGCTCCCCGCACTGGGGCCAGCCCGTGGTGCCCCCTGCCCTTGCTGCGTGGCCCCTTCCTCCCAGAGCCGCGGCTTTCAGCCTCCCACCATTCCATTTCACCCCGGGCTCTGTGTGAACCCTGCCGGTTCGCCAAGGACTGGAGGCCACACTCGGGGGGCTGAACGGTGACAGGCACGGGGTGCTCTGAGAGCGGCCTCTGTCTCCGCACACGGGCCCAGGGGGAGGTGCAGAGTTGACTCAGAGCATCCCCAGGCGGGAGTTGCTCAGGGTATCAGGTGGATCCAGGCCCGGCAAGGCCCTTCCCCGGGAGGTGCGCAGTCAGGCTCCCGGGGAGGCGGGGACAAGTCCTGCCACCTCCTGTAACTGGAGGGCTCAGGAGGAACCTGAGATCGGAGGCGTTGGCGGGAGCCCCCAAACCTGTGAGGGACCCAGTGAGGACAGACCGGCCAGCTGTGACCCCGCTCTGCGCCCCGGTCCTGCCCTCAGAGCTTGCAGTTCGTGTGGCGAGGGTCCCGCTCCCTGGAGCTGCAGAAGCAGGAGATCTTCACGCACATCCTGGACCAGTTCAGCTACTGCCCGTGAGTCCTCTGGCTTGTTCTTGCTCTCTCCCTGCCGCCTCACACGTGACCTCCCAGTGACCCCTCGGGGACACTCCCTTGGCTCCCCCAGTGACAGAAAGAGAAGCACCGCCTCCCCCCCCCCCCCCCCCCCCCCCGCCGCGGTCCTGCAGCTAGCAAAGTGTGCGCAGCTGCACTTCACCTGGGCAGTCAGATTAGAGCTCCCACGGCCGAGACCTCGGAGGCGGCGACCCTGAGCTCAGACCCTGGTTCCTTTCGTGCCGTGAGTCAGGTTCGGTGGCAAGGCCCGTGAGGGGGAACGCCCTGTGAGAGGCAGCAGCCATCGGCAGTGCCACCGTATCTGAAGTCCCTTCCTCTCCTCTCTGCCACCGTTAGCTGGTTTCGCTGCAGCGCTGCTAAGTTTGAAGCATCTCCAATACCTCCCGGTCACCCCTGTATCTCATGACATGGGAGGAGAAGGAATACTTGCCCAAAGAGACTGAAGCTGAAGTAAGGCAGCAGAACTCAATGCGCTTGGTCAAGCACTGGAACTAGGGACCGTGCAGGGGAGAAAGGAGCCAAGTGAAAGTCCACAAATGGAGAATGACTCTGTGGAAGACAGAAATAAGGTGGAACAAAATGAAATGTTCTGAGAACAATCTCATCCCCTTAGACTGATGGCATCGTAGCAGGTATTTCACAGGACGTAGAGCTGAGAAGGAGTCCAACGCCCCTCTCAGGAGAGCATGGCTGAACCCCCCGAATCTGGGGGAGAAAGTGAATATATCAAACTATGAGGCTAACAGAATACCAAATTATCTAAATGTAGAGAGACCTGCAGCACTATAGTGTAGTAAAATGCGAACAGTCAATAGCCATGGAGAATTAAGGTGCTTGAGGAATAAAAACATGGACAGTAGAAAGTTGCCCCAGAAGGCTCTCATCAGATCTCCACAGGCCAAGGGAAATGGAGTGACAGTTTTCAAGCATGGAAAGATGAAAAACTGATGTCCAGTTACCCCACATCCAACAATGCTCTCCTGCGATATAACGGACAAAGTTGAACAAAGAAAGGCTGAGGGAACACTGGCTAGAATCAGAGGATAGCACTGTACCACTGTCCTCCCATTGTTCATCATTTTTTCTTGAGTGAGTTCCAGTAATGTCTCCATTGTGAGACTTGTTGTTACTGTTTTTGGCATATTGAATACGTCACGGGTAGCTTGCCAGCCTTTGCCATGCAGGCGGAATACTCTTGGTAGCTTGCTGGACTCTCCTGGGGGGGGGGGGGGAGGAATTGAACCCAGGTCGGCCGCGTGCAAGGCAAACGCCCTACCCGCTATGCTATTGCTCCGAGCCCATCAGAAAATAAATCACCCACGTTTCAATAGACAAAAAAGAAAACCAGAATGTCTCCAATCTGTCTCAGAAATGGGAACGGTGGCTAATGTATTCACTGTGGGTGGACAGGAAGGAAGCACGATCTCTCCAGTCTCTGCAGTTTCCTGTATCTCGTAGCGTCAAAAGGGATGATAGAACTTACAACTATGACAGTGGCTAACAGGAAGGACATAACCTATAAAGGCAAATGAGGATATCAGCAGAGAAAGATTAGCAGAGCAGAAAGAAATTCTATAGAAAGTAAATAGTAATGAGAAAATACCCCTCCCCCTAACAAAAAAGAAACCAAAACATGAGTAGAGACAGAAAAAAGTATCAAAGTCCACCAAAATATCAGACACAGAAAAAGCATCAAAAAGAATGACAAAGAATGATCAGAAACGACCAGAGTACAATGGTCAGGCCACACTCATCCTGGTTGGAATCCCCAGCACCACATATGGGTCCTTAAGCATTGCTTGGGCTCATCCAAGCAGAAATCCCAGAATAACTCCTGCTCACAGTCCAGTGTGGCCCCAAACAAAACAAAATAAAGGAAAAGAAAGCAGGAAAAGAATAAGCAGAAAACTTTACTTTTGATACACCTTAAAGATCAATTTTTAAAAATATTTTTACTGTAATGGGACATCACCTTGGCCATACTATTTTTATGTAATGTCAAATCTTTTTCCCAACTAACTGAAAAGTAAAACTTACATACAAAAGGATTCCTTGTAAATATAAATGTGAATAGTGAATAACCCACTGTTTTACATTTGTAACATCTGTGTCTGCCGATACAGGCGGCTGTTTCACTTTTCTGATTGTTTCTTCAATATGGGTTAAAATTAGACTCTGGAAATTAAAAAAAAAAGAATAACCAGAAAACTAAAACTAAACCCAAGAGCAAGCTGATATTATGTGATGTGAAATCCATCAGACAGGGAGGAACAAACATCCTATGATTTCACTAGCATTTGGAAGATAAAGTCAAAAAGTAACCAGCCCACAAAACTGGACAAATGAACAGTCTCTAGTCAATAAGGGAGAGGTACTAGGGGTTGCCAGGGAAGCAGGTGATGCTGAAGGGCCAGTCACATGGAGACAGTCTGGTGACGATCTAGGGGCTTTATGGCGGATATTGATTCACACATGAGACAAATACAATGTTCTAAACATGCTATTTCAGTGTCTACTATGTCCCCTGATTAACTTTACATACTCAATATCACACTCCATTCCGGATGTTGCCCGCGGAGATTTCCAGTATTCATCACCAGATGCTGTGAAGGAGAGTCTGGTGTGTTGCATTCAGGTCCCAGCCTGACTGATGGTTTTACAGCCAGAGTCTGATGGACAACAAGGTGGCCTGAGGAGTCACAGAAGTGAGTCATCACGTGAATCCCAACAGACTCCCTCAGTGGGGCTGGGGGCAAAGCTTGTGCTCCAGCCGATGGGACCAGAAATTCGCCCCCAAGGAGCTGCCGGCAGTCACTGGCACCTGCATGAGGTCGTGATGCGAAACAAAATGAAACAGACTCTTGTCTCTTGTCTCTGTCCTCTGATCTGCTCACACGCAGGTGCATGCCCCGGAGTTGCCCCAAGTAGGACGGTGTGAGTCCCACCTTGTCACCAGGGGTCACGTCTGTCCTCACGACCCCAGGCTTTTTCTCTTTTGAGAAGTTCCTGCTAACCCACTCTCCTGCAGGTCGGGGTTTCGATGGGAAGGCCTGGCCACGTTCCCAGATCTACCACTGGGTGGAAAATACCCTGAAATGGACCCACCCATCACTCCTCGCAACATTGAAACCTACGTGAAAGAGCTGGTCCTTGACGTGAAGCACCGGGCTCATTGGTTCAAGACTCAGAAGTTGCTTTGGCCCTGGGTAAGTTGAGGTCCTAGCCCTGGCCCAGAGAAGGCTGTGACAGTTTCCACACCACACTCTGGGTGCCCTGCTCTCCTGTTCCATCTCAGCAGTTAGTCAGGCCAGGAAGTTCTTTTTTGCTCTCCCCTGAAGCCTCGTCCTTTCTCCTTATCTTCTTTCTGCACCTTGGACTCACACATGCATGGCTCACCAGAAAGACACCATCTCTCCCAGGCGGACTTCCGGCTTCCACGCGCCGCTCTCCTTCTCTGGTGCAGATTTCCAGAGCCTGGGCTTGGGAGAGCCTCAGGTCGCTATGAACTGTGTGAGCCTGAAGATCTCGCTGGCTCCCTGTTTCCTCAGCACCTCGGTGCTGGCTTCCTAGGGCTGATTCGAAGTTCAGTGAAAGGAAGTGCCCAGAGGGGCAGACAATGAAACACAGCCATCCTGTCCTCTTCACTGTCAGCAGGGCCATCAGCGGCAACATTTCCCATCATGGTTATCAAGAACGTCACCAGAACATAATCCTTCAATAGCACAGGATCACCAACCCATCTGTTCTAGTCACTGTCATGGCCGTCGCCACAAAGTCGTCACACTTATCCCCACTAACATCCTCCTCATCCGTCCACAGCATCACATTCAGCATCGTCACAGTCATAGCCACCACCAAGTTAGCAGACTGGCCATGGCAATGGCCTTGCTGCCCACGCTCCAGGCACTCATCCCACTGGGAAATGGCGTATCTATGTCTCATTTACTTACATGGCCTAGGAAGAAAACACCCCTTGTGACCATGATGATGATGAACATCCCATTATTTTCAGAGAATGAAAAAAGTTGGAGCCATTAAGAATATTCCTAAGGTCACACGGTTTCTTATTCAGAGGGGATGGAGTTGTTTTCAGACACTGGTCCCCTCAAGTCTGCCCGTTTTCCATGCCACTTTGGTTTACTTTCTTTTCAAGATTTATTATATTTGTAAAATGATGCATATGTTTGGCAAGGAATACTTTAGGTCAATAGGCTTATTGGTATGTACCATTAAATAAGAACCCTATGAATGTGTTTTACTTGTTATGAAATTGAATTGTTACCTAAAATGTATGTTTAAATAGTGCAATTTTACTATCCTTTAAAAGTCTTAATGTAACGTGATCACTTCAGTGCTGAGGGCTGTGACATTGCAGTACTGAGTCACAGTACTCCCTCCACCAAGTCACTCCGAGCATGAGCCAGTATTGTTGAGCTCTTTATTTTGCTCACCTCTGCCCCCAAGTATTGCTTCCTGGAGTTTTGAAATTTTTACTTCTGAACAACTCAGAATTGGACACTTTCAAAATAAAACCAGGAAACACTCTAAAGTTGCTTGTGGTGTCCAGATGAATAAACCCTATAAAATCACCCGTCGTGAGATCCATGAAGCGCGCTGGCCGAAAATCCTCTGTGGGTGGCCTGGTCCACGCGATCTTCTGGCCTCTGTGCAAAGGGCCCGACTCACCTGCAGGGCTGCCCAGAGCTGCTGACCGTCAGTTTAGACTCAGGACCCTACCGGGGCTCCTTTGCCCTGTGCTCAGGGCTCTGCGCTATGGCAGACAGGCAAAGTGCTTCATTACACCCCTCACCCCCAGCCTCTTCCCTTTGATAGTGAATTCATAACACAATTTGTCAGAAAGGAAATGAAAAGTTTTCTCATGAGTTCGTCTCTGAAGCCCAGTGAGTGCGGATAGACCCGGCGGTGAGCAGTCAGACTGGGTCTTGGGAAGTGCTTAGGACATGCTCAGAGATCAGGGTTAGAGGAAGAGCCAAGAAATATGACATGCTGCCCACCTTTCCAAAAGAAACACGCCTTCTGTGCAAGGGTGGGCGGTGTGTGTGTGGGCAGTGAGGCCAGCTGGCCTGGGGTGGGCTGTGCTCCTGGTCCCGAGCCCGGTCATCTTCCGCTCCCGCAGGGCTGTGACAAGCAGTTCTTCAATGCCTCACTGCAGTTTGGCAACATGGACCTTCTGCTGAAATACTTCAAGAGGAACGAATCGCGGCTGGGCATCTCCGTGCAGTACGCCACCCTGAGGGAGTATTTCAGCGCCCTTCATGCTCTCAACATCACCTGGAAAGCGCGTGCACACGAAGACTTCCTCCCCTACTCCTCAGGTACGCGCCGCTGAGGGGCCAGGGAGCTCTGGTGCCAAGAACCGCCGTCACCCATCTCGGCTCTGCCCTGCTCCGTGGCCTCGGGATCCGCAGGGCCTTGGCGTGACCCAGCCACACCTCAGCACCCTCGTCGCTCTGTGCGCGGGCAGGTTCTGATTGCCCACACGGGGTTCCTTGCCTCCCTGCCTCCGTTCCTGGAATTTGCGTTACTGGGAGTGCTTTCTTATCTTCTTCCTCCGAGTCCTAGTGCTTTGGAACGGAACTTTCCCCAGGAAGCCTTTTCTCACTGTCAGCTGGTCAAGAGGCATCTTGTGTCGTCATGGTTCCTGCATTTACCACCACATCTGTCGCTAGACAAGGCGTAGCTGCCAATGCGCCGGGGAGCCAAGACTAAGGAATCAGCTTCAGGGAATAGAAAGGGCCTTGTTGTGTGGTCAGAGAGCAAAGGGGCAGGAGGGCCGGTTCACTGTCTAACAGCTCTGTGTAGGCTGGTCCCCTGCCCTGTTAGGATGGGTCCCTGAGCAGAGAAACAGGAGAAAGATCTGAGCGCTGCCAGGTGTGGCCCCCACAAAAAACTGCCTGTGGTTTCGTGTGCGTGTGTGCTTGTGTGCATATGTGCGTGCGTGTGTGTGTGTGTGTGTGTGTGTGTGTGGCCGAGGGCGGGGGCCTCCTGCCACAGGCTGATGACGCATCGGCTTCCCCCGATGACCTGCGGGCCCACAGAAGCAGGACGAGGACAGAGACTGAGGCCGGGCTGAGAAGTCACAAGCTCAAGGAGCCTTGCTGACCCTGCGGGCAGCGGGGACCCTCACGCCCTCTCCCCCAGACCCCTGCCCCAGAGAAACCCCGGAGCTTGCCCTCTGACCACTTCCAGGAGCTGGCATGGCCTCTTCCCCCTTCCTTCTTCTAGATCCTGCTCTTGTGACCTCTCCCCAAAGTCTTCCAGGACAGGGAAGACCCTGGGGTCCCTCTGTCTCTGTTCCCAGCCGCTCTGCGCTGCTCCCTGTCGCCGGCTCCTCACGGGCCTGCTCCTCACCCTGCTGGCTCTTGTGTCCCAGGGGAGTTTCAGGCCTGGACGGGCTTCTACGCCTCCCACAGTGGGCTCAAGGCCCTGGCCAGGCAGGCCAGCGCCCTGTTATATGCTGCGGAGTCCATGTTCGTGCGGCACCTGTGGCCAGAGCACGACTCGACTGTGAACGCCTCCTGGGCCCTGCAGCAGCTGCAGCAGCTCCGCTGGGCCGTGTCCGAGGTAAGGATACCGGGTGCAGTGACCGCTGGGCCCATCCCCTGCTCCCAAGCACGGAGCCTGGGTTTCGGGGGGACGTCAAGGGTGCCGTGTGGTGGTCTGGGCCGCGCTCCCCCCGCGTGTCCCCGTAGCTGGGTGACGGTCCCGGGAAGGCTCGGGTAAGAGCTCCCGTGGCCAGGGGTGTTGTGTCCAGCTCACAAGCCTGCCCATTCGGCTGCAGCCTCCATCCTGTGCTCTTAATCACTGTCCACCCAGAGGAGGGCTGGGCATGAGTGCAGTGATGACATGACCTGTCCAGCTCCACTAGCAAGGTGTCCATCACTTCTGCCCCATGGTCCCGGCGGGAGTCACTGCTTGGGCCCTGCCTCACAGACCCTTGTGCAGGTGAAACGATGTCCACTGTCTCGTGGACGCCCCGGAGGCAGGCTCGCCTCGCCAGCCCAGGAAGGGGTGAGCTGGCCGTTCACTGCATAGTCTCTGCCCCCCAGCCGGCTCCCCAGCTCAGCTGCTACGGCTCCCCTTAACAAGTCCACCACCGACAACAGGTGCAGTCAGAGCCAAGACTGGGGTGTAAGTGTACCCGTGGACACAGGGTGATGGCCAGCCGGCACCTGTAGGGATAGTGACCTGCTCTGCTCCTGCCTGGCCCACACCTGCACCTCTGGATTTTTTTTCTTTTTGGGTCACACCCGGCGATGCCCAGGGGTTACTCCTGGCGGTGCTCGGGGGACCATATGGGATGCTGGGAATCGAACCCAGGTTGGCTGCGTGCAAGGCAAACGCGCTACCCGCTGTGCTATTGCTCCAGCCCCATGAACTAACTGGATGTTAAAGTCATGCCAGTCCCTTGTGCTGTTTTCCCGGGTGCCCATCTGCAGCCTTCACAGAGGAAACCAAGCTTTTATTCAGAGGACTGTGCCATCCGGGGGGCCCTATGAAGGGGTGATTTCCCACAGGGCCCGGCCACGGAGGGGAGTCCTGGAGTCTTTTTTGTTTCTTTTTGGGTCACACCCAGCAATGATCAGGGCTTACTCCTGGATCTGCACTCAGGAATCACTCCTGGTGTTGCTCAGGGGACCATATGGGATGCCGGGATTGAACCTGGGTTGGCACATACAACTCAACGGCCTACCTGCTGTGCTATCACTCTGGTTCCCAAGCCCTGGACTCTTTTCCTCCCTGAGCTAAGGGGACCGACTGGCAGGTATTCAGAGAGTGACACAGTGACCTGCAGTGCCCGTTGAGTCCGTATGGGACTCACCCCGACGCTTCTCCCTCCCTTTTGTGAAGAGGCTGCTCCTTGCCTGACCGCAGTGGCAAGAATCACTGGTGGCAAGGGTGTCTGTGGGGACTGGTCAGTTGGGGGCCAACTCTCGGTTCCTTCTGAGAGTTTGCAGGCTTCAGGCGGACACTCGTGAGGGTGCCCCGGGCAGGGCTAAGCTGCTTCCTCTGCCCGGTTTCCTCTCCCTCCCGATGCTGGTGTGGGGCAGCAATCTGTATTTAGTGGCCTGTGTGTGTTCTGGACGGCAGCCCCATTGCCACTGTCCTGGGGCCTCAGGTCCAACACCACAATGGAATCTCTGGGACTGGGAGCAATAGGATGAGAGATATGTACGTGGAACACCTGGCCGCGGGCATGGACGGTGTGCACCGGCTGATGGCCTCCATCGTCAGCGGGAGTGGACAGAGTGGCCCATCTGACAAAGGTAAGCCAGCTGGGGGGAGGGCGGTTCTGAGAAGTGAGCTGAGTTGGAGGTGCGGGACCCAGACCTTGTGACTCATTGGCCGTGTCTTAGCGTGGCTGTGTCTGACCTGGAGGGGAGCGGGCTGCCCCATCCCTCAGGAGTCCATGCCCCTCTACACGACACTCTGAGTGTCTGCGTTCTCGGCTACATACAGTTCACCTGCAACAAGGGGGTCCTTAGCTGACAAATTTCTGGGCCATGAGGGACAAGCATTCTCCCTTTATTTATTTGTTTTGGAGGTAAAACAGATTTTACTTGGAGGTGTTTGAAGGGGAGGAGGAAGAGAAAAGTGGGAGAGAAAGTAACACGCTCAAGAGAACATGCGTGTGTGCGCGGGTGGGGCTGGAGCGATAGTACAGCGGGTAGGGCCTTGTGCAAGGCCGACCCGGTTTTGATTCCCAGCATCCCACATGGAGTGTAGAGCCAGGAATAATCCCTGTGCATCACTGGGTGTGACCCAAAAAGCAAAAAAAAAAAAAAAAAAAAAAAAAAAAGAGAGAGAGAGAGAGAGAAGCCCCCCCCCCCCCCAGCATTAGGTAGGAAAGTGCACGTCTCACGAGGGAGATTGGGCGCCACATGTGCTTGGCCACATGGGCGCAGGCAGCACATGGACTTGCGCCGTGTATGTGTGAACCGTCTCCTTTAGGCGGGGGACCTCTCTACAACCAGCTGCTTCCTTCCTCGACCCTGTACCCAAGTCCCTCTCAGCTGCCTCACCTCCCGCAGGTTTCTGTGCCTTTCCAGAAGGCCCCACACTCCGCGGGGCTGGGGTGGGAGTGCGCGGACACAGCCCGCCATGGGACAGAGAGGGCTGCCTTGCAGTTAAGGCCAGTGGGAGTGGACAGGCCCTTCCCTGACATCCAAGAACAGTGTGCAGAACCCGAGAACAAAATGTGACATTCTGGCCACAAAACAGAGTGGACACAGGTGGGCAGCAAAGCGGAGCATGTTGGATGGCCCCAGCCCCTCCCCACGGAAGGAACCCAGATCCACACCGCAGGAGTCTCAGAGCCAGGACAAGCGAGTTGCAAGGCTTGGCCGTCCAGCTGTGGAGTCCCAGCAGAGCCTGACGCAGGGCCTGGGGCCCTGATCACGTGGGGCTAGTGACTATCTTAGCCACTACTTGGGCTCGCCTGTGGGCTCCTTCCTACATTCCCTGAAGCACCCTGGGCACCAAGCAGAGAGGGTCACCCAGTGTCTGAGCACCATCTGTCCTCACTCCCTTCTGCTCCGGTTGCCAACATGTGCAGGGTCAGGGCCAAAGCGCTCCCGTTCTCTCTGCACACAGCCACTGAGCGAATCATTACTGGTGTGTGTGGGTCTCTGGATGTAGATGCAGATTCTATCGGACTCTCTGCGGTCATCTACAACCCTTTGGCCTGGAACCTCACCACCATCGTCTCCCTGACCGTGGACTATCCCAAACTCAGAGTCACGGATGGGCTGGGCAGGTCTGTGCCTCCACAGGTAGGAGCAGGAGGGTCAGCTGGGGCCCTTGCACAAGGAAGAGTGGCCATGTGACAGGAAGTTGGTGCGGGAGGGAAGGGCTGGGCGTGAGGAGAGGCTGGACATTGTTTACGAGGGACAATGCAGGAGGGGGGCGGCTCAGAACACTCTAAGAGTGGGAAGACCCAGTCTGCCCCACACGGTGAGGCTTCCGCCCAGGTGCTGTCCGAGCTGAGCGTTAGAGGGTAGAACGATTGTCCTCTAGTCCAGACACTCAGTGTTCCAACCCATCCACAGAGCTTGCAGTTGCAGAAATCAAAGACGATACCGAACAAATATGAACTGTATATGTTGGTCACCATCCCAGGACTGAGTTACCAGCAGTACATCATCTGGCAGAGCCAGGGCAAACAGGGCACTTTGCTCAACATATCGAGGCCAAGTTATTTTGGCCGGAGGAGAAGAATTTCCATGTTGTCGGATGAAAAGCACCTCATGTCGGTGCAGAATGACTGCTACACCATCTTCCTGGACCAGGACACCAACCTGCTGCACAGCATCCGGGAGAGGTGAGGGAACAGTCTGCTCCTTCCTGGGCATCGCGCACCGCCACTCTGGGGAATGCCATTTGCGGGCTTTCTAGGGATGACCTCGAGGTGTCACCAGACCTTTCTATTTCTCTGTTTAATTTCTGTGAGTGTGAATGTTTGCCACTACAATCAAGCTAGTCTTATTTTTTTTTCTTTTTGGGTCACACCCAGTGATGCTCAGGGGTTACTCCTGGTTATGCACTCAAGAATTACTCCTGGCGGTGCTCGGTGGATTCTATGGAATGCTGGGAATCGAACCTGGGTCAGCTGCATGCAAGGCCCTACCTGCTGTGCTACCACTCCAGCCCCAGCCTTATCTTTTTATTTCAAAGAGATTGACTCATAGCATAGCAAATGTTGAGGGACAAGCACTCAGAAACGGAATCATGGTAGAAACTATGTATGCTAGAGAAATTCCAAATTGTTTTGTATATGCATGCCTTTGCTCGTCTGGCCTCCATCCACCCATTATTCACACTTTTTTATTTATTATTTTTTAATAGTGAATCACTGTGAGGTACAGTTGTAGACTTACAACTTTTTGTGCTTAGGTTTCAGTCATACAATGATCGAGTACCTATCCCTCCACCAGTGCCCATTCTCCACCATCAATGGACCCAGTATCCCCCCCACCACCCCCACCCCAACCCCCCTACCTCACTCACCTCTGTAGCAGGGAATTCCCTTTTTTTCTCTCTCTTCTTTTGGGTGTTGTGGTTTGCAATAGAGATATTGAGTGGCCATTGTGTTTGGTCTACAGTCTACTTTTGGCATGCATCTCCCATTCTGAGTGGGTTCTCAAAACACTCTTTACTTGGTGGTCTCTTCTCTATCTGAGCTGTCTTTTCCCCCAGCATGTGAGGCTGGCTTTCAAGCCATGGGGCAAAACTTCTGGTCCTTATCTCTATTGTTGGGTGTTAGTCTCTTATTCCGTTACTTTATATTCCACAAATGAGTGCAATCTTTCTATGTCTATACCTCTCTTGCTGACTCATTTCACTTAACATTATACTTTCCATGTTGATCCATTTATATGAAAATTTCATGACTTCATCTTTTCTAACAGCTGCATAGTATTCCATCGTCTAGATGTACCAAAGTTTCTTTAAACAGTCATCTGTTCTTGGGCACTAGGGTTTTTTTTTCAGATTTTGGTTATTGTAAAGAGTGAAGCAATGAGCATACAAGTGCAGATATCATTTCTACTATACTTTTTTGCTTGTCTGGGATATATTCCCAGAAGTTGTATTGCTGGGTCAAATGGGACCTCAATTTCTAACTTTTTGAGAATTGCCCATACTGTTTTCCAAAAGGACTGAACCAGTTGGTACTCCCACCAGCAGTGAAGGAGGGTCCCTTTCTCCCCACATTTGTGCCAACACCAGTTGCTTTTGTTCGTTTGGATGTGGGCCAGTCTCTGTGGTGTGAGATGATATCTCATTGTTGTTTTGATCTGCATCTCACTGATGATTAGGGATGTAGAGCATTTTTTCATGTACCTTTTGGCCATTTGGATACTTTCTTTGAGAAAGTTTCTGTTCATTTCATTACCCCATTTTCTGAGGGGGTTGGATGTTTTCTTCTTGTAGAGTTCAACCAGTGCCTTGTAGATTCTTGATATAAACCCCTTATCAGTTGGGTTTTGGGTGAATATCCTTTCCCATTCTGCTGACTGTCTTTGTATTTTAGTCCTTGTTTCTTTTGAGGTGCAGAAGCTTCTTAGTTTAAGATAGTCCCATCTGTCTATCTCTCTTTCCACTTACTTGGCCAGTGGCATGTGATCTGTGAAGATACCTTTAGCTTCAATGTCGTGGAGGGTTTTGCCAACTTTGCCTTCACTGTACCTTATGGATTCCGGTCTGATGTTGAGGTCTTTAATCCATTTTGATTTTACTTTTGTACATGGTGTTAGGTAGAGATCTGAGTCCATTTTTTTTGCATGTAGCTGTCCAGTTTTGCCAGCACCATTTGTTAAAGAGACTTTCCCTTCTCCACTTCACACTTCTTTTTTTTTCTTCCTCATTTAAAAAAAATTTTTATTAGTGAAACACCATGAGGTACAGTTGTAGACTTACAAATTTTTGTGCTTGGGTTTCAGTTATACAATGATCGAGTACCCATCCTTCCACCAGTGCCCATTCTCCACCACCACTGATCCCAGTATCCCTCCCACCCTTATCCCCCCTCTCCCACCCTGCCTCTGTGGCAGGGCATTCCCTTTTGTTCTCTCTCTCCTTTTGGGTGCTGTGGTTTGCAAAAGAGTCATTGAGTCCACTTCACATTTCTTGCTCCCTTATCAAAGATTAGATGATCATATATTTGAGGATGTGTGTCAGGATATTCAACCCTGTTTCATTGGTCTGCAACTCTGCCTTTGTTTCAATATTTTAATTATTACTGCTTTGTATCAGAGATTGTTTTAATTAATTAATGCTTTAATTATTACTGCTTTGTAGTAGAGTTTGAGCTTGGGGAAGGTGATGCCTCCCATCTTTTTTTCCCCAAGAATTGATTTAGCTATTCATGGGGGTATTGTTCCATATGAATTTCAGGAGTGTTTGCTCCATTTCTTTGAAGAATGTCATGGGTATCCTTATAGGGATTGCATTGAATCTGTACAATGCTTTGGGAAGTATTGCCATTTTGACAATGTTAATTCTCCTAATCCATGAGCAGGGGATATCTTTCCATTTCCTCGTGCCCTCTTTTATTTCGTGAAGTAGTGTTTTGTAGTTTTCTTTGTACAGGTCCTTTACTTCCTTAGTTAAGCTGATTCTGAAGTGTTTGATTTTCTGAGCCACAATTGTGAATGGGATTGCTTTTTTTCGTGTCACTTTTTTCTCTCTCATTATTTGCATATTTGCTCGAGCGGGCCCAGTAACGTCTCCATTGGAGACTTTGTTGTTACTGTGTAGGAAAGCCATGGACTTCTGGGTATTGATTTTATAACCTGCAACTTTACTATACAAGTTTGTTATTTCTAGGAGTTTCTTGGTAGAGGCTTTAGAGTTCTCTAAATATAGTATCATATCATCTGTGAATAGTGAGAGCTTGATTTCTTCCTTTTCTACTTGAATGCCCTTAATATCTTTTTCTTGCCTAACCGCTATTTCAAGTACTTCCAGTACTATATTGAACAGAAATGGTGAGAGTGGGCATCCTTGTCTCATCCCTGATCTTAGAGGGAAGGCTCTTAGTTTTTCCCCATTGAGGATGATGCTTGTGGTAGATGGCTTTGACTATATTAAGGAAAGTTCCTTCAATACCCATTTTGGTGAGAGTTTTCATCATAAACGGGTGCTGGATCTTGTCAAATGCTTTCTCTGCATCTATTGATATGATTATATGATTTTTATCTTTTCTTTTGTTGATCTGCCCAAATGCCTAAAAGGAGGGTGGGAGGGAGGGTGAGAGAGAGGGAGAGAGAGAGAAAGGTGCCTGCCATAGAGGCAGGCAGAAGGGGGTGATGCGTGACAGATTATGTTGATTGGGTGACGGATTATGTTGACCGATTTCCGAATGTTAAACCATCCTTGCCTTGCATCCCTAGGATGCATTATTCACACTTTCATCTACACTTCCATTTTCCCACTCGCTGCTCCACCCATTCTTCATCAACTCCCCTTCCTTTAAATAGTCTTGTCACACACTCATTCACGTATTCCCTCCCTCTCACATATCCTTCAGTCCTTTCTCTTTCCCAGTCCACTTCACCTTCACCTGCTCCCTGTTCCATCATCTGTACATCCACCCACACCAATCCTTCCCATACCGTCCCATCTACCATCCTATCTTCTCTCCTTTTATTCCGCGTATTCATCCCTCACCATCCTCTCACAACACTGTCTGTACCTTCACCACTGCCCCTCAGTCTAGCCAGACACTCACTCCTACTCTAGAGGCAGCTCTTCTTCAGCATCCCAACAATCATTCCACCATTTTTCTTTTCAAAAGTTTTTTAAATTACTTTTTTAGAGCATTAAAAAGCTGTTCATGATTGGATTTCAGTCAAACAGTGTTCAAACACCCATCCCTCCACCAGTTTACATTCCCAGCACCAGTGTCCCTAGGTTCTCTCCCATCACCCCCTCCTGCCTGCCTATCTGGCAGGGGCTTTTCTCTCTCTCTTTTTCTTTTTCCTTTCCTCTCTCTCTTCTTTTGGGCATTGTGGTTTACAATATTGATACTGAAAGGTTATCAAGAATATCCCTTTACCTACTTTTAGCCCTCAGCTCTTGTTCAGCATGATCATTCCCAGCTATTATTGTCATTGCGGTCTCTTCTCTATCTTACCCACCCTCCACCTGTCACACACTTTTCACCCATTCTTCTACCTGCTATACAACACTTTACTATACAAATCTATTGTTTTAAGAGCCTTTTTGTAGAGTCTAGGATTTTCTAAACACAGTATCAAATCATTTGCAAATATGAGAGCTTGATTTCTTCCTAACCTGTCTAAATTCCCTTGATATTTTTTCTTGCCTAATTGCTGTGGCAAGTACTTCCAGTACTACTTTATTTTTATTTTATTTATTTTTATTTTTTATTTTTCACGCTGAGCCAGTCAGTGTAGCGCGCATGCAGCCCCGGACATCATGTACAAAGGGCAGGGACTTAATCAACGCAAGCTTATGACCCGCACTTACTGGGAATTCCTCGTTCATGGGGAATAATTGCAATCCCCGATACCCATCACGAATGGGGTTCAACGGGTTACCCGCGCCTGCCGGCGTAGGGTAGGCACACGCTGGCCTGGCAAGCTCCCCGTGACGTATTCGATATGCCAAACACAGTAACAACAAAGTCTCCAATGGAGACGTTACTGGGCCCGCTCGAGCAAATTGACGAACAACGGGAGGGCCTTTACCTTTTACTTTACCTTTTTATTTTTCAACGAATCACCATGAGGTTCAATTACAGACTTACAAACTTTCATGCTTACATTTCAGTCATATAATGATAGAGTACCCATCCCTCCACCAGTGCCCATTCTCCACCACCAATGTTCCCAGTATCCCTCCCTCCATCCCCCCAACCCCTCCCCGCCCCCTGTGGCAGGCACATTCCTTTTTTTTCTTTTTTTGGTTTTATTAGTGAAACACCATGAGGTACAGTTGTAGACTTACAAGTTGTTGTGCTTGGGTTTCATTTATACAATGATCGAGTACCCATCCCACCACCAGTGCCCATTCTCCACCCCCATCAATCCCAGTATCCCTCCCAGCCCCCCAGCCCCCATCCCACTCTGCCTCTGTGGCAGAGCACTCCCTTTTGTTCTATCTCTCCTTTTGGGTGCTGTGGTCTGTAGAAGAGACATTGGGTGGCAATCATGTTCGGTCCGTAGACTACTTTCAGCAGGTATCTCCCATCCTGGGCAGATCTTCCCAGCACCCTTTATTTGGTGCTCCCTTCTCTATCTGAGCTGCCTTTACCCCTAGAGTGTGCGGCTGGTCTCTAAGCCATGGAGTGAATAATCTGGTATTTATCACAGCTGTTATTGGGTGTTCGTCTCTTATTTTGTTACTTTATGTTACCCAGATGAATGCAATCTTTCTATGTCTGTCCTCTTTCTGACTCATTTCGCTTAGCATGATATTTTCCATGTAGTACCACTTGTATGTAAATTTCATGACTTCATTTTTTCTAAGTGCTACATAGTACTCCATTGTGTAGATGTACCAAAGTTTCTTTAACCAGTCATCTGTTCTCAGGTTTTTTCCATATTCTAGCTATTGTAAACCGTGCTGCAATGAACAAACAAGTGCAGATGTCACTTCAACTATACTTATTAGCCTCTCTGGGGTATATTCCCAGGAGTGGTATTGCTGAGGTCAAGGGCTGGCACCACCCCTTCCCGTGAGGTCCTGCGTGTCTTGTCACTGCTGGCCCATACCTGACTGTCCATTGGCCTCTGGAAGATAGTGGCCACCGAGCCGCCAGGGGGAATAGGCGGAGGGATTGCACCTTTTCCCACCTGGGGTGACCCGGCACCGGCAACCTAATGTGAAGTACGGACGCATTTCTTCCAAAAGCCGCTGGGTTCCGAGTTTCATTTGTGTGTTTTTGGATCATGGCTCTTACATAGCTTGATTAGTAGCTGGAGTGACCCCATTCTGTTACTTTATATTCCACAAGTGAGTGCAGTCCTTCTATGTCTGTCCCTCTCTTGTTGATTCATTTCACTTAGCGTGATACTCTCCATATTGATCCACTTATATGCAAACTTCATGACTTCATCCTTTCTAACAGCTGCAGTACTACTTTGAACAGAAGTGGCAAAAATGGGCAATTTTGTCTTGTGCCTGATCCTAGAAGGAAGACTTGTAGTTTTCCCATTGAGGAAAATATTTGCTGTGGGCTTGTGGTAGATGGCTTTGACTGTGTTAAAAAAAAAAAGATCCTTCAATTCCTATTTTGTTGAGAGTCATGAAAACTCTGAATCTTGTCAAATGCTTTCTCTGAATCTATTTCTCTAAATCTATCTGATCATGTGATTTTTCTTTTATTGATATGGTGTATTACGTTGATTGACTTTTATATGTTAAAGCATCCTTGCATCTCTGGGATGAATCCCACCTGATCATGGTGTGTGATCTTGATGAGATGTTGGATTCTATTTGCTGGTATTTTTTTTAAAAGATACCTATGTCTATTTGCTCGAGCGGGCCCAGTAACGTCTCCATTGGAGACCTTGTTGTTACTGTGTCTGGCATATCGAATACTCTCGGTAGCTTGCCGGGCTCTCCGAGAGGGGCGGAGGAATCGAACTCGGGTCGGCCATGTTGGCCGCTTGTAAGGCGAACGCCCTACCCGATTTATTTATTTATTTTTCTTTTTGGGTCACACCCAGTGATGTTCAGGAATTACTCTTGGCTCTGGACTCAGGAATTACTCCTGGTGGTGCTTGGGGACAATATGGGATGCTGAACCCAGTCAGCCACATGCAAGGCAAATGTCCTACCCGCAGTACTATCACTCCAGACCATTTTTGCTGGTATTTTGTTGAGGATCTTTGCATCTGTGTTCATTAGGGATATTGGTGGTATCTCTGTCTATTTTTGGTATCAGGGTGATGTTTGCTTTATAGAAACTGTTTGGAAGTGTCCTAACTTGAAAATTATAACGTGATAGCTGAGCAGAGATGTGAATTTGGAGCTGATATGAGTCATGTTGGGTTTCTTCTAGTTGGGGGTCTCAGGTGAGTGAAGTCATGTCCCCAGACTTCATGTACTGCAGTAAATAGTTGGCCCAGACCCTTTACCTGGGGACCAGAAGACATTGGCTAATGAGCTGAGTGAAGGCTGTGGCTTGTGACATCTTGGACAGTGGGTTGTCATGTAACCTAACTCTTCCCTGTTGTGGCTTTGAGCCTGCTGAGAAAGGAGGGGAAGGTATCTCAGATGATACGGGCAGTCAGCTCCACCTCTGTGGGGGGTTTCTTCCCGTAGAAAGGGTCCGAGACTCTGCCCGGCTCTCGGGATCTCCTCAGGCAGCTTGGTCCCTCCTGGGCCATCTGCACTGGAACAGGAGAACAATGTGACGGCACATTGGTTCTGGATGTGCCTGAGCTGAGCTTCCTGGGACCTTGCCATCAACAGTCTTGACGGTTTCTCTCCGCTTCATCATGGTCCACAGAAGGCATCTGGCTTCAGATCAAGGAAATGAAACCTGGGATAATGCCTGGTGATGCAACCGTTCTGTTCATTTCTCTGCAGAGAGAGTAACAGGACAGTCCCCCTAAGGCAAGAGTTCCTGGAGTACCACAGCAGTGGCAACGTGTTCGAAGGCCCCACTTCAGACAGCTATCTGTTCCTTCCCACTGAGGCAGCCGAGCAAGCCTGGGGTGCTGTGGCATTGGAGATCGTGGCTGGGAAGCTCCTGACTGAGATCCGGCAGTATTTCTACAGGTGATGCCATGTACTGCTGCATGCCGAGTGTAGTACGCTAGGGCGGGGAGGGGCTAAAGGCGGGACGCTCTGGCCAGGGGCCTGGATGCTAGCCCTGTGCTGGGCACCTACTGTCGGCCCATGGACACGTGACAGGAAAGTGGTTCCTCTGATGTCTTCACCTCCTGCCGCTGACGGGCTGTACTCACGGCTGGGAGCTGAATCCAGAAGCAGACAGACCCTCAGAGTAACATGCTGTTCTTGCTAGGGGGTTTCGCTCTTTCAGAGACCGGACAGTCATTTCCATGATGCCTTTTAGGAAGTTTCAGGGCCCAGGGCACTCATTCTGCTCCCGTTGTCTTGCTTAGTCGGCTTTCTGTCCAACCAGCCTGATGTCACACAGGGGAGGAAGGAGAGAAAAGTGAATGGAAGGTGGAAAGAAAGGCACGAGGAAGGAAGGGAGGGATGGCAGGAAAAGGGAGGGATCGGGAGAAGGGTGGGCTCGTGGATGCCCTATGCAATGCTCCCCTTCTCTCCAGAGACGAGATGGATTCTTCTTACACCTATGCCATCTTTTCCCGGCTGGTGCACGTGTCGAGGGATGCCGAGGGGGAGCTGCTATGCTATCGAATAGAGCAGGAGCTCAGAGTGGGCCCTTTGCAGATCAACCGTGAGGCTATCCTGAGGACCAGCACCAACCTAAACACTTACCGCCACTTCTACTCTGACGGTAACGGCTACCAGATGCAGAGGCGGACCTACAGAGATCACGCCAACAACAACATCGCTCGGGTATGCCTCACAGCACCCGACCATGGCGCTCCCAGGTGCAGCCCTGGCGTTCTTTCTGGAGGCAGGTGGATCCTCTGATCTGCAGGCGCTGTAGTGAGAGCCCTGAGAAGGTTCTCTCAGGACCCCATTGCCCACCCCGGCGCTGAGGCTCAGAGCTCGGGGCACAGGTGATCCTTGGTGTCTGAACTCTGGGCTGCCCCTGCTGAGGGAAGCCCTGGCTCAAGGGCCCCTCATTTGCTCCGGTGCCCCTCACTGGTGGCACTGCCTTCAGGGTGATAGTGTCAGCTCATCCCTGACTCAGCCCAGCTCTTGCCTGGCAGTGAAACGCGATGTGTGCCAGTCTCGGCGTCAGGCGCTGCACAGGGCCTTGGCTCTGGGGAATGGAAGGGCGGGCCGGTCCTGGGCATTTTTCCGGGTGCCTGGCTTTCCTGGGACAGGGGGTGTCTTCCTCTCTAGGGGCAGGAGGCCAGCTGGGCACAGTCAGGAAGCAGCAGAGGGCGCCCAAGGCTACGGTTATTTGCTGTGTCCCCTTCCTATCTGCTTTCTGGTCACTGGGTCACAATTGCTAGTCCTTACATCTCTGGCCAGCCAGAGTCCACACTTTTGTGCTGTCTCACAGAGCACTGAGCGTGGCATATGACTTCCCTTTGGTCCACGCCTGGACCCCCTTTCCCTCACGCATCACCATTCAGTTGCCCAGCAGCTGGACTGGCTCGTGCCCAGTGGCCCATGTAGCCTGGGAAGAGGGAATTTAGCCTGAGATGGACATATGAGGAAGCTGAGACCCAGACAGGCTAAGTTCACTGGCTAGCAGCGTGGGGGGGCAGTGGAATTGGGGATACTGTCCTGTAGAGGGCTTGGTCAGGAAGGCTAGTGGAAGGCATCCACCTGCACACCTGGTCGCCTGCGCAGGGCCAGCTGACAATGTCTGTGCCCACAGAATTACTACCCCATGGTGCAGTCGGCCTTCATCCAGGATAACCAGAGCCGGCTGGTGGTGCTGTCTGATCAGGCACACGGCGTGTCCAGCCAGGACAACGGGCAGGTCGAGGTGGGTCATTCCATGGGCCCATGCTGCCCAGGTGGGAGGGGCCTTCAGACCCCCTGTTCCTCAGGCCACTCCAGAACCTGGGCTGCCCGGGTGGGAGGGGCCTTTAGACCTCCCGTCCCTCAGGTCACTGCATGGCCCTGGGCTGCCCGGATGGGAGGGGCCTTCAGACCCTCGTCCCTTAGGTCATGCTACATCGCCGCCTGTGGAACGTAGACCAAGTGAAGCGTTCACTCAACCTCATGCTGGTCGACGACTCGGTGGCCAGTCCTGTGTTCTGGCTCCTGCTGGGCCCCCTACGGCTGACCACAGCCCTGCACCATCAGAGCGGGCTGGCACTGCAGCACAGGCCCATTGTGCTGTTGAGAGAACTGAGGGGTAAGGGGGCACCCACCAACTGTGGTCACCAACCCTGAATGGGCACCTGACCGGGGACTGTGCATCTGGGCAACCTCAGGGCAGGACCTGAGGCCACCCCCTCTGTCCTCTGCGGGCAGGTGAGGTGCAGAGGGGCTCCGAGGTGGTAAGTGGGGTCTGGACCCCCGGCTCCCCTGTACCCGTGCAGGGTCTGACAGGTGGTAAGTGGGGTGCGAACCCCAGGCTCCCCTGTACCCATGCAGGGTCCCACAGGCGGTAAGTGGGGCTGGACCCCCGGCTCCCCCGTACCCGTGCTCCGAGTCTGCTCCTTTCTCCTGTGATATTTTGTCTTTCTCGGATGACCTGTGACTTGAGTGGCCGCGTGGCCCTGTGACTTGAGTCTGGAGTGTGTCCCCAGGGAGGGTCACTCTGCCCCCTCAGACACCTTCTGCATGTCTCTCCTGAAACCAGGGCGCCCGGAGACAGCGGGCAGTGCTTAGAGAAACCCGCAGCAAAAGCCAATGGGCAGGATTGACATGGTCACTCATCCTTGAATCTTTCCGGTTTCACTCATCTTTAGAAGATTTTATTTATTTATTTAGCTGTTAAAATATCTTCTAAACGACCTACTACTGATTTATGAAAAGTAAATTAATGGAGCCAGGCAGAAAGCTCAAGGGTGAGAGACACATGCGTGCACTGTCACACCAGAGGCATCACCTTGTGTGACCTCGGTGGCCCGGAGCATCCCTAGGCCTAAACTGCACTGACTCAATCATGGAAACTTCTGGATTCATTGGCCAAGTATCAAGAGTGGCCTAGGAACACATGAGGAAAGCTCAGAATTGAACTGAGCTCACCTCTGAATTAATACTGCAGCCTGAGTGTCTGTGGAATATGAATCTTAAAACATTTATTCTCATTTTATCTAATTAATGAAGAAAGAATGAAAAACTTTAAAATATTTATTATTTTTCTTCTTTGTCCCTGTCTTTATTGATCTACATAAACTTTTTTTTTTTATTTTTGGGTCACACCAGGCGATGCTCAGGGGTTACTCTTAGCTTTGCACTCAGGAACTACTCCCAGCGTTGCTTAGGGGACCATATGGGATGCTGGGAATCAAACCCGGGTCAGTCGCGTGCAAGGCAAATGCCGTACCCCCTGTGCTATCGCTCCAGCCCCCATAAACTTTTAAATTAGATTTTTCAATTTTGTGCACTGTGATTTGCAAACTGTCAATCAAAGAATTTCATATGTGAACTATTCCAGCCTCGCATGTTCCATCTAGGGGTCCCCTTGCCTCTGCCCCTGTCCCAGGGTCCCTCACCCACCCTTCCCACCCCCATGAAACTTCCTACTGAAGACAAGTTCTCTGTTTCTGTTGCTTTTGGGCGATGGCTATCTCCCTTCATATCCTGCATACAAGAGAGAGATCATTCTGTTTGTTTCTCTCCTCTGATTCAATTCATCAGCATAATACTTTTTAGGTCCATCAGCATGGCAGAACATTTCATGTTTTCATTTTTTTTTCTTACCGTGGAGTAGTATTCCATTGTGTTTATGTGCCATAGTTTCTTTATCAAGTCATCTGCTCCTGGAAACTTGTGTTGTTTCCAGATTTCGGATATTGTGAATAGTGCTACAATGAACACAAGGGTGCAGATGAATTTTCTAAGTGAAGTTTTTGGACCCTTGGGGTAGATGCCCAGAAGTGGAATTGCTGGGTCACGTGGAAGTTGAATTCCTAGCTGTTTGAGAAGTGTTCATATTATTTTCCAAAAAGGGTTGGGCCAGTGAATATTCCCGTGGGCAGTAAATGAGGGGCCCTTTCCTCACATCCATGCCAGCACTAGTTGTCTTTGTTCTTTGTGAAATATGCCATTCTCCCTGGTGTGAGATCATACTTTAGTGTGGTTTAGATTTGCCTTTCCCTGATGATAAGTGACCCAGAGCATTTTTTTCACCAAGTGTTGGCCATTTGTGTCTTTTGATTTTTTTTGCAAAGGGTCACACTCGGTAATGCTCAGGGGTTTCTCCTGGCTCTGCACTCGGAAACTACTCCTGGCAGTACTTGGGGGACCAAATGGGATGCTGGGGATTGAAGCTGGGTTGGCCTGAGTGCAAGGCAAACACGATACCTGCTGGACTATTACTTTGGCCCCTTCATCTGTGTGTCTTTTGATGCAGTCGGGTTTTTTGATAGAGTTCTATGAGTAGTTGATGTATCATGGATGTCAACTCTGATATCCAGAGTGATATGATGAGTGGTGGACTCTCAGTTGGGAGTGGACTGTCCAATCACAATCTGTGTTCATCCTTTCCTTTAGAAGTCTCTTAGCTTGGTATAGTCTTGTTTGTGTATCTTTGCTTCAGTTTGTGTGGCCAATGGGTCAAATCATTGAAGATGCCTCTATATTTAATGTCACTGAGAGTTCTACCTATTTTTTCTCAATGTATTTATTAATTCAGGTCTTTAATCAATTGGACTGACCTTTGTGCATGGTGTTAGGAGAGGATCGGAGTTCTTTTATTTTTTTTTTTGCATGGGACTGACCAGTTTTCCCAGAAGCATTTATTGAAGAGGTTCCTTGTTCCACTTCATATTTTTGCTCCTCTATTGAAGATTGACTCCAATGCTGAGGATCTCCCTCTGGACTTTGAATTCTATTCCACTGATCTGAGAGTCTATCCTTATTCTGGTGCCATATTGTTTTACTTACTACAGATTTATAGTTTGATTTGATTTAAAATTGGGGAAGGAGAAATCTTTCATTCCTTCCCCCAGGATTACTTTGGGTATTTGGGGGGTTTATTATTTCATATAAATTTCAACAGAGCTTGATCTATTTCTTCAAAAAATGATATGGGTATTTTTATAGAAACTGCATTAAATTTGTATATTGTTGTGACTCAGATTGTCACTTTTGACAATATTAATCCTTCCAATCTATGATCAGGGAGTTTTTCCTAGTGTCCTCCTTTTATTTATTTTAGTAGTGACTTATAGTTTTCTTTGTATAAATCTTTCACATCTTTTGTGAAGCTGATTGCCAGGTACTTAATTTTCTGAGGCACAATCATGAATGGTATTGAATTTTTAATTTCTCTGTCTTCTATTTCCTGACTTGCATATAGAAAAACCAGGTATATTTTTGGCATTTTGGTCACACTTGGCGATACTCCTGGCTCTGCACTCAGGAATTACTCCTGGTGGTGCTCAGGGGACCATATCAGATGCTGGGACTCAAACCTGGATTGGTCACATGCAAGGCAAATGCCCTACCTGCTGTACTATCGCTCCAACCCCCCAAAATCAGGGGATTTTGTGTGTTGAGTTTGTATCCTGCTACTTTACTCTACAAGTCTGTTGTTTCTAGGAGTCTTGTGAAGTGTTGGGAGTTTCTAAGTACAGTATCACTGTCATCTGCATAGTGAGAGTTTTACTTTCTCTTTTCAGATCTGAGTGCCTTTATTATCTCTTTCTTGCCTCATTATTATGGCATGGATGTCTGTGATGAACAGTAGTGGTGAAAGTGCACAACCTTGTTTCATGCCTGGTTGTAGAGAAAAGCTTTCAGATTTTTGTCATTGAGTATGATGCTTGCTATGGGCTTGTGATCAAGAGTTTTGACTATTATTGAGGAAAGCTCCTTCCAATCCTATTGTATTGAGAGTTTTTATTATGACAAGTGCTGGATTTTGTCAAGTAATTTCTTTGCATCTATTGATGTGATACTATGATTTTTAGTTTTTCTTGTATTGTGATGGTTTATCACATTAATTGACTTACGTATATTAATCCATCCTTGCATCTCCAGGATCAATTTTGGTTATGATGTGCGATCTTTTTGATGTACAGTTGGATTGGTTTGCAAATATTTTACCATGTTTATCAGAGATACAGACCAAAAGTTTCCTTTTTTGTTGTTTCTGTCCACCTTTGGTGTAACATGAAGTAATGTTTACTTCATGGAAACTGTTTGGGAGAGTCCCTATTTCGTTGGCTTTCCTGGAGAGGATTGGTAGTAGGTCTTTATTAAAGGTTTGGAAGAACTCACCAGAAAACCCAACTTGGCCTGGGATTTTGTTTTACTTTATGTTTTTGCTTTTGGGCTAATCCAGCAATACTCTGAGGTTACTCCAGGCTCTGCACTCAGAAATTACTTCTGATGGTACTCAGGGGACCATTTGGGTTGCCAAGGATCAAACCTGGACCAGCCATGTGCAAGCCTCCAGGCTGTCCTATTGCTCCAGTTCCTTTGGAAAACTTTTGACACAATAAGGTCTTACCAATAAGAGGCAGGAGGTTATGGAGAAATTGGTGCAGAAAAATTCTTAAGAGGGGTGTGTGTGTGTGTGACAGAACAGCAGGCAGAGTGCTTGCCTTGCATTCAACTGACCTGTATTTGATCCCCAGCACCCTCAATGGTCCTGAGTGCAGAGCCAGGATTAGGCACCGAGCATCACTGGATGTGGCCCCAAAACCAAAATGAAAATGAAAAAAAAATTTCAGTGGGGAGGAAGATAAGAAATGGTTTTGTCGTTGATTATTTCATTACCTTTGAACTCACTGATGAGAGTGAGTTCCTATCTCAGCCCAAATTCCCATGATCTAAAGCACCGATATAAGACTTTAAATATATAAAGCAATTAAAAAACTTTAACATTTGCAAAGGGGGTTTTCCCTACTATGCTTTTCTTTGAACTTATGCTTTAAAAATTGTAATCTGACTTTTATTTATTTATTTATTTATTTCATTTTTTATAATTTTATTTATTGAATCACTGTGAGAGCAGCTACAAAGCTTTCGGGTCTAAGTCTCGGTCATACAATGAAACACCTGTCCCTTCACCAGTGCCCATTCTCCACCCCCAACAACCCCAGTATACCCCCATTCCACACCCTCCCCCTACCTGTGGGGTAGATGATTTCTACATTACTCTCTCTCTACTTTGATAACATTCAATATTTTTACACCAGACCCACCATTATTATTTGAGATTTTACCCCAACACTCAGATCTGCTGAAAAGGCAACCATAAACAATTTGTTTTCTATTGCTGGTTATGAATAACATATGATGCCGCGTGGCTGCAGTAGTGGCCACGTGATTTTGAAATTCCGAAATTTTAACACTTAAATCTGGAAGGATTTCTGCCCAAACCTTCTGGGTTCCGAGATTTGCTCCTGAGTCTCTGGGATCATGGCCATTAAGCAGCTTGATCAGGAGCCAGAAAGGCTGTTCATGGGTGGTGACTCGGGATCTCACTGGGGTGGGGAGGAAAGGGCCGACTCCACCCCCATCCCACAAGGCCCCGTGTGTCTCATCACTGAGGGCCCAAACCTGACTGTCCAGTGGCCTCTAGAAGATGGTGGCCATCAAGCTGCGTAGGGAGAGAAGGCGGAGGGACAGCACCCTTTCCCCCTGGGGTGGCCCGGCGACAGTAACCTACTGTGTGGTCCGGATGCATTTCTGCCAAAAGCCACTGGGTTTCAAGATTTATTTCTGAATCTCTTAGATCATGACCGTTAAGCAGCTTGATCAGGAGCCAGAGAGGCCGTTTGTGGGCGATGACTTGGGGTCTTGTTGGGGTGGGGAGGAAAGGACCGGCCCCACCCCCATTCAGTGAGGCCCAACATGTCTTGTCACTGAGGGCCCAAACCTGACTGTCCAATGGCCTCTGGAGGATGGCGGCCACCGAGTCACCAAGGGGGATCAGGCAGACGGACAGCACTCTTTCCCCCCGGGGTGGTCCAGCGATAGTAACCTACTGCGGGTCCGGATGCATTTCTGCCAAAAGCCACTGGGTTTCAAGATTTGTTTCTGAGTCTCTGGGATCATGGCCATTAAACAGCTTGATTGGGAGCCCGAGAGGCCATTCGTGGGCGATAACTTGGGGTCTCGTTGAAGTGGGGAAGGACAGAACTGGCTCCACCCCCATCCCGTGAGGCCCAACAATTCTCGTTGCTGTGGGTCCAAGCCTGACTGTCCAGTGGCCTCTGGAGGATGATGGCCACCGAGCCGCCAGGGGGAACAGGCATGAAACCTATTCCCACCTGGGTTGGCCCAGCACCGGTAACCTACTGCAGGGACCGGACGCATTTCTGCCAAAAGCTGCTGGGTTCCGAGATTTGTTTCTGAGTCTCTGGGATCATGGCCATTAAGCAGTTTGATCAGGAACCAGAGAGGCCCTGCCTCCAATTATATAGCTGAGTTGGAGGTGGTTTGTGGGTATGTTTCCCGCATACCTAACTTTTGGCCGTTTACTTTCTTGGTAAACTTTGCTCCAAGGTTTTGGGGTCTGGTCAAAGGCACAGCAGAAATTTTGGGGTATCTGGAAATCTGAAGGCGCCATCAGGCTGCTGATGCACTCTCCTCACAGGTACAGATTGACCTGCTGGCGGCACCAGACCCCCTAAAAATTGTAATCTAACTTTTTATGTTTTTTAAGTTGATAGAAGTGACAAAAATAACAATACTGTAAGTGATGATTTTCCATCTAGATAATTCCCAGTGCCCCTCCCTCCCCACCATCCCCCTCACAGGCTCCTCCTTTCGTCCTATTGCCTTTGACCCTTTGTTGCTCCCTCTCTCCGTGTCTGTAAGGCCTACATTTGAGAGATCACTCGCATCTATCCATTTCCTTCTGAACTGACTCAACTCAGCACGGTATCCTCTATTTTCATTCGTGCTGTGGCAAGTTGTGTAATGTAGTTCTTTTTAAGAGATGGCATGCTATGTGTGTGTGTGTGTGTGTGTATTTGGAGACCACACCCAGTGATGTCCAGGACTCACTCCTGGCTCTGCGCTCAGGAATTACTCCTGGCGGTACATGGTGACCATCTGGGATGCCAGGGGTCAACTCCGGAAGGTACTTTACCATTGTTCTCTCTCTGCCCCCAACTGGCATGTTTTATTTTTTTCTTTTTGGGTCACATCCAGCGTTGCACAGGGGTTATTCCTGGCTCTGCACTCAGGAATTACTCCTGGAGGTGCTCAGAGGACCATATGGGATGCTGGGAATCGAACCCGGTTGGCTGCGTGCAAGGCAAACGCCCTACCCACTGTGCTATTGCTCTAGGCCCTGGCATGCTTTTTATTTTTACTTATTTATTTATTTGTTTTAAGACTTTAAAGGAGACTTAAAATTAAAGAAAACGATTTGGCTAATAGAGAAAATATGTAACATTTCCAGATTCAATTCCAATGTGACACCTGAGATTTCTGCACATCAAGCAATTTTTTTTAATTTTTATTTTTTTAGTATTATTATTTTTTTATTTTGAATACCCGTCCCTCCACCAGTGCCGATTTCCCACCACCACTGATACCAGTATCCCTCCCACCCCTATCTCCCCCATCCCACTCTGCCTCTGTGGCAGGGCATTCCCCTATGTTCTCTCTCTCCTTTTGGGTGTTGTGGTTTGCAAAAGAGTTAAGCCTGATTTTCAGGGAGAAACGTTGGATGATTTACTTTCCATTGATCACTTTGTATATAAGGAGATGTCGTGCGGCCACGTAAGCGGCCATGTAGTTTGGAACAAATATCCTGGTTCCCATATGCCCGAGCTATGCTTGTAGAGGTTCATGGTCACCGGGGTTCCCTCTGGGGAAGGCGGGATGGCAGCACCCACCCCATCTGGGACCTCCCGGTGATATCAGCTCTGTCTGGGAACTGTAGCATTCTCCGGGAGCTGTGGGGCCCTCCAGCAGTTTTCTTCTTTGTTGTTGTGAGCTGTAAAGATGGCGGTGGGGGGTAGGTTGTGGGCATGACTTCCGGAATCAGAGGTTGCTTGGGAGCTGAGGCGGCCCCATTGCAGTTTGGAACAAATGTCCTGGATCCCGCATGCCCGAGCTATGCTTGTAGAGGCTCATGGTCACCGGGGTTCCCTCTGGGGAAGGCGACCTGGCATGCTTTTTAAAGAAGTGCTTTCAACGTTTTCTCGGCTTCAGTGTTAAAGTCCACAGAACCAACCGGCACCCCTCTCCTTCCATCTGCCCGCCCTAGAGTTCTTCCACAGTGTCCCAGGCCACAGGTGCCAACGTTCCATGACGCTGCCCCCCAGTCTCCACCTGCAGCTCCTGAGCGTCCCCGGCTGGACCTACAGCTCCAACCACACGAAGCACCTGCGGAATATCAAGGGAGGTGGGCAGGGCTGAGAGCCCACACATGCTTCCTCTCACTGGACACCAGGTGAAGGGGTCACCAGGTTTACAAAGCAGGACAAGTAGGAGATGACAGATCAAAGGTCCCGGGGCCCAGGGAAAGGAAATCTTGGATCTGTGACTTTCTGACCCCAACACCCAGAAAACAGCCCTCCATTGCCCAGGCAGGAAGCTCCCTGGGGAGTGGCCCCTTGGCTCAGCTCACTCCTGTTGGTCACAGGGGCAGAGTTCCAGAGTTCCAGGGAGTCAGGCTATTCCTGAATAGCCCGAATGGACCCCAGACACTCTTCAGGGTCAGCGCTGGCCCCGTGTGGCTGGAGGGGGCATGTCAAAATCAGCTGGGCTTGCACTGAGTCCCTCTGTTGGTCATCAGCTGTGTGTCCTCAGCCACGTTACTGGCCCTCTCTGTGCCTTGGTTTTATTTCTGTCCATGGAGCAGATTCAGAAGCCTCCAGGGAGGTGAGGGTAGGAAGTGGAGGTGGCTGAGTAGCAGGCGTGACCTGGAGCACTGATGGCATCTCCCTGCCATTCCCCTCTGCCCTTGAAGGTCACCAGGCGCAGGTCAAGGCCAACCTCCACCGTGTCCTACTGCGGCTCCAGCACCTGTTTGAGGTCGGGGAGGACCCAGTGCTGTCTCAGCCAGTGACGGTGAACCTGAAGGTGAGTGCGCCCGCTCCATCCTCACTCCTGGTGCAGCCTCCTTGGGTGGATGATAGGGGAGGGGAACCCCAGGTATGAAAAGCGCCACATCGGCACAAACGCTCCTCAGGTGATTCACCAAGGAGCACCCCTGACAGGGCAGAGGGAAACTCATCTTTCTACTCCCTCCAGGGCTTGAGGTTTTTAGCTATGACCCGGCATGTATGGATTCATTCACTTTCTTCTTGTAATACAGTCTGAAAGTAAAGCTACACACATGTTACCAGAAAACTCCACACACGCAGGTGGGATTCAGGCATCATGTGATGAGTTAAGAAGCTTTTGTCCTCTTTGACATTTTGGAACAGGTTTGGAAGAATAACACTTAGCTCTTCTTGATGGTTTGGCCCATTCGCCCCAAAGCCCAGTCCTGAATTTAAGAGTGAGAAGTTGTACTAACAATTTTTTTTCTTTTTTAAATTTATTTGCAAGTGATTGTCTACTTAGATTTTCATTGTCCTGAGTCAGCCTTGGTGTTTGTATAATTTGAGGAATTGGTCATTTCATTCAGATTGGACAGTTTGGGATTTAAATTTTTTTGGGGGGCACACTCAGTGGTACTCGGGTCTTACTTCTGGCTCTGCACTAATGGATCATTCCTTGTGGGACCACACAGGGTGCCAGGACACGGCTGCGTACTGTCAAGCGCTCTACCCACCATACTATCCCTCTGGGATTTTAGATTCACTCACGGATTTCTTACAGCCCTTAGTATTTCTGACAGTGCTTTCTCCTATTCACTTCTCATTTTGCATGGAAGTTTGAATTCTTCTGTTTGTCTTGCTGTGTACCACAAATGTTACATCTGTTTTGTTTATCTTTTAAAACCACTTGGTTCTCTTCATACTGTGTTATATTTTATTTCTAATTTACTACCACTCTGATTTTTTTTTTTGCTTTTTGGGTCACACCCGGCGATGCACAGGGGTTACTCCTGACTCTGCATTCAGGAATTACTCCTGGCGGTACTCGGGGGACCATATGAGATGCTGGGAATCGAACCCAGGTTGGCTGCATGCAAGGCAAATGCCCTACCTGCTGTGCTGTTGCTCCAGTCCTAACCACTCTGATTTTTTTTTACAAATTTATTTATTGAATCACCGTGAGAGCAGTTACAAAGCTTTCAGGTTTAAGTCTCGGTCATATGATGATGAAACACCCATCTCTTCACCAGTGCACATTTTCCACCACCAATAACCCAGTATACCCCTCTTCCCACACCCTCCCCTAACTTGTGTGGCAGATGATTTCCACATTACTCTTTCTCTACTTTGATTACATTCAATATTTCGACACCAGACTCATCATTATCATTTGGGATTTTCTTCCATCACTCAGACCTGCCAAGAAGCAACATTAGACAATTTGTTTTCTATTGCTGATTATGAATAGCATATGATGTCATGTGGCTGCTCTTGCAAATTCTTGTGGCTACGGGGTTTTGGAATTCTGAAATTTTAATAATGAAATCTGGAGGGGTTCCTGCCAAAAGCCACTGAGTTCTGAGATTTGTTTCTGAGTCTCTGGGATCATGGCCATTAAGCAGCTTGATCAGTAGCCAGAGGGGTTGTTCGTGGGTGGCGACTTGGATCTCGTTGTGCCAGGGAAGGAAAGGGTCAGTTCCACCCCCATCCTGTGAGGCCCCATGTGTCTCGTCCCTTGGGCCCCTACCTGATTGTCCATAGGCTTCTGGAAGATGGTGGCAACTGCGCCACCAGGGGGAACAGGTGAAGGGACGGCATCTTTTCCCACCTGGGGTGGCCCGGGGCCGGAAACCTAATGTGATGTCTGACGCATTTCTACCAAAAACTGCTGGGTTCTGAGATTTGTTTCTGAGTCTCTGGGATCATGGCTGTTAAGCAGCTCGATCAGTAGCCAGAGGGCCACTCTGGTTTTTATTCCCTTCCTCTTCCCTCTATGCTTTATTCTGTCACTTATTCTGCTGAGCTCTCCAGGAATAGTGTTCGTTTGCTTATTGAGCTTTCTTGTTTCTCGGGGCCTTTTGTTTCCCTCAGAAACACTTGTGCTGCCTCACAGCCTTTCTTTACTCCAGCTGCATCTGGCTCTTTCTCACACTTGGCGTTGTTTGGTTTCGCGGCTGCTGAGCTGACTGGTCACCGTGTGCCTGGTTTCTGTGTTCGCACACACGCTGGCATCCCTACTGGCCGGGTCTTCTGGTGCATGCGGGCTCTACCGTGCTGGAGATTGCTGACTTCCTTGTGGCGCTCGTTGTTGCCCGAGGTCAGTATTGCTGATGCTGAGAGGAATTACTCTCACTGTGCCGGGTGAGTCAGGGCATCATGCAAGCTTAAGGGATTGTCCCGCCAGGTCCCCGGAGAAGTCTGGGCGCCGCTGTGTCCTTAGCACTCACCACAGTTCCCACATGGGTCTGCCTTGTTGTGACCTGCTGGGCACTGTGGTCATGGTTATCTCTTAAGCATCCTCTCAACGGTTATTTAAGGGTACTGGGGAGAAAGCACCTTCCCCACCATGAAGTTCAGTCTGCTCACACTCTGCTTTTGTAAAAACAAACAATCAAATATTGATCTCCAGTTACTATCATGTGAGTAGAAACCTCCAAAGATCCCCGGAAAGAGCAAAGTGCCTTTGACAAGACCAGGGTCGTCCCGTGAAGGGCTATGTTTCCAGGCTCACATTGGTGCCCGGGCCAGGGGCTTACTGTGAACCTCGAATAGATGACTGTCACTATTCTGCGGTGACCGGAGGATCCCCTTGTTGCATTTAGGGTTGAATCACTGTCCCCCAGCCGACCTATAACAGACAAACAAAGGGGCCACAGACTGGTTGGTGATCAGTCGCCATCTATTATGTGTCACAGTGTTAGTTATAGAGAAATCATGGAGGGTTGGGGTAGCAATTGCACCTAGGTAAACGATGAACAGATGTGAAGCCCTTCTTCGGGGGAAACTCCTCTAGGGGATTTACTCAAGGACAAAACCTCATCGAAGGGCTCAGCACTCAAGATTCCTGCAGGACCCCTGCCCAAGGGCAGGATTCCATGTAAGGACATACTGCTTTCTCCTTTCCTTAGCTAGAAGTCTACTAGGGGGTATGGTGCCACCAGCAGGTCAATCTGTACCTGTAAGACGAGTGCATCAGCAGCCTGATGGCACCTTCAGACTTCCAGATACCCCAAAATTGCTGCTGTGCCTTTGGCCAGACCCCAAAAACTTGGGGCAAAGTTTACCAAGAAAGTAAGTGGCCAAAAGTTAGGTATGTGGGAGACACACCCACAAACCACCTCTGGCTCATCTATATAATTGGAGGCAAGGCCTCTCTGGTTCCTGATCAAACTGCTTAATGGTCATGATTCCAGAGACTCAGAGACAAATCTCGGAACCCAGTGGCTTTTGGCAGAAATGCATCCAGTCCCTGCAGTAGGTTACTGGTGCTGGGCCACCCCAGATGAGAATAGGTTTCATGCCTTGGCCTGTTCTCCCTGGCGACCCGGTGACTGCCATGATCCAGAGGCCACTGGACAGACAGTGACAAGACACGTGAGGCCTCCTGGGATGGGGGTGGAGACAGCCCTTTCCTCTTCATCCCAACGAGACCTCGAGTCGCCGCCCACGAATGGCCTCTCCAGCTCCTGATCAAGCTGCTTAATGGCCATAATCCCAGAGACTCAGGAACAAATCTTGAAACCCAGCGGCTTTTGGCAGAAATGCATCCGGACCGCGCAGTAGGTTACTGTCACCAGGCCACCCCAGGGGGGAAAGGGTGCTGTCGCTTTGCCTGCTCCCCCTTGCGGCTCGGTGGCCACCATCCACCAAAGGCCATTGGACAGTCAGATTTGGGCCTGCAGTGATGAGACACACAGGGTCTCATGGGATGGGGGTGGAGCTGGCCCTTTCCCTCCCACCCCAATAAGACCCCGAGTTGCCGCCATCGAATAGCCTCTCTGGCTTCTGATCAAGCTGCTTAACGGCCATGATCCAAGAGACTCAGAAACAAATCTCGGAACCCAGCAGGTTTTGGCAGAAATCTCTCCAGATTTAATTGTTAAAATTTTGGAATTTCAAAATTGTGCGGCCACTACTGCAGCCACGCGGCATCATATGTTATCCATAACCAGCAATAGAAAACAAATGGTCTACTATTGCCTTTTCAGCAGATCTGAGTGTTGGGGTAAAATCTTAAATAATAATGGTAGGTCTGGTGTCAAAATATTGAATGTAATCAAAGTAGAGAGAGAGAGTAATGTAGAAATCATCTGCACCACAGGTAGGGGGAGGGTGTGGGATGGGGGTATACTGGGGTTGTTGGGGGTGGAGAATGGGCACTGGTGAAGGGGCGGGTGTTTCATTGTATGACCGAGACTTAAACCCGAAAGCTTTATAACTGCTCTCATAGTGATTCAATAAATAAAATTATAAAAAATGAAACAAAAAGTAAGGTGGAGTTCATGCTGAATTCAATCAGCTAATCAGTGGCTGAATAAATAGCAGCACTCCTACATAAAAAAAAGAAGTCTACTCAAACAGTCATCTTAAATTTACTTCTTACTAATATTTCTTGTCATCTTGTATGAACATAGTAAGAAGTATATTAAGCCTAAAGGGTGGCTCTTCCTGGGGACTTCTCACAATATACCCCAGACCACAGTCCTCAGGCCAGGTTAGTCTTTCCTAACCCCAGAAGGGTCCTTATTTAGTTACTTCTTTTTGGGTCATGACAGAGCTTGTTCCATGACAGTGCTCTTACTTTAAATATCTTATGGTGCTTAGCCTGTCCCTTTTGACGCCAGAGTAGCTAACAGCTTGCCTTGGGTCCACCCAAGTCCCTTTATGGGACCCCATTTTTGGGGTCTCAGGAAATAAGGGGAACTGAGGCTTAAGTCAAGTAAATATGCCAGGAGTAAATATTATTCAGAGTCAGCTAACTCCCAAGTTCCAAAAGCATAGCATCAACTGTCTTCCTGTGTCTATAAAAAAGGGAAATTGCTCTAAAGTAAACTATACAAAGGACATGAAGGAAAGAGAAAAGCATTATTTTGCTTACACATAAAGACCAGAGCCCTCAGAAGATTTGACTTACAGGCTACAGGGTCTGATTTCGGGATATATGTTATTAACAGATAGGGGAAAAAGAGCACAAGGAGAAGTTAAAGATAAACACAGATTGGGAGTGCCTGATGGAATTGGGCGAGCCTCTGGAGCACTGTGATAGGTGCAACTCAATGAATCTGAGCTCAATGCAGGAGGAGCACAGACAAACCAATGTTACTTCTTAAAATGCTCAGGGCTATAATCCAACAGGTGATGCAGGAGTTTCCTGGCCTGGCAGCCCTGCTCGCTCTGGGCTCAGGGCGCCCCCGTCTCTGCCCGCAGGTCCTGCTGCGAGGGCTGGGCTCGGTGCAGATGGTGGAGGAGCGCTCCCTCACGGGCACCTGGGCCGTGGGCTCCCTGCAGCGCTGGAGGTGGAAGACGCGCCGCCTACGTCATAAAGAAGGTTTGGGGGCCCTGCGCCAGGACTGACTCCAAATCCCATGCCACCCCTTGGCCAGCTCAGAGCAGTGTAGCCTGGACACAGCCCCTGTCCTGCCCCTGCCAGCCCAGCACACTGCGTTTGCTCGCCCCCCGGCCCCGCCCCTGCTCCCGCCACAGAAAATTGAGGTGGGACTAAGGCCTGTCCCCACAGGCCACGTGTTCACAAGGCCTTTGTGTAGTGTGACCGTGTATAGAATCACCCCCAGATTCCACGCCAGATCACTGCTCTGAGTGATGACCCCAACTCACAGCTGCCCCAAAGGCCCTGGCAGCTGCTTCCTGGGTGCCAGGAGGATGTCAGCAACAGGGCTACTTTACCACATTACTCCCAATCTGCGGGTCTGCTCCTGGCCTCTGAGGGAGCGCCTGTTCAACCCCCCGACCACTCCCCGGCTGCACCCCACCCCCCACAGGGATGCTCTGTCCCAGCCTTGCCACTTTGTCCCCACTGTTATGTCCAGGTACTCAGTCAAGTGGTGGATGGCTGCATTGGTTCACGGTGGATGGATGGTTGGTTGGATGAAAAGATGGATGGATGGGAGGAAGGACTGATATTAGCTGGGGAGATAGGAGGATGAGTGGGCACATGCATGATTCCAGAACAGATATGACAGTGGGTGGATGGATGAGCCACTAGTACCCCTCCCGGGATGAGACCTGAACCCCATAAAGTGACACCTCTGTAGTTTGTTGAGATAAGTGCAAGGCACAGTTATAAATACCACACCCAGGGGACTGTGATGCCAGGACTCCAGAGGGTTAAGGTGTGGTATGGTGCTCTGGCCCTCTCGGTTGTACCTCCACTGTGGCTTGGGCCGCCCAGGCAAGGCAGAATTCCAGAGGCCCGTTCTGGTCGGAGTCCGACTCGAGGGCCCTCTGAGGCTCCATGTCTATGCCGAGGGACTTTTAGCAGTCCAGAGCTGGGGGTTGTGCTGCGGTGGGTTGCCAGGGAGAAGTGTCTTGAGAGACAGGTGGCACTGAGGGGGGTGTTGGATGCATACCTTCTCCTGCCAGGCCAGTTCAACTCTTCTTTGACTCTGTATGGAGACCCCTACGTCAGGATCTACCCGAAGGAAATCCGAACCTTCTTCATCCACTTTCAAAAGTGAGGGGCACGTGGAAGCTTCACGTGACTCAGGCTCCCCAGGGCGGGAGGGGTCAGGGCCCAGCACAGCTGCTCATCTTCTGGGATGCGGAGGAAGAATCCCATGGGATGTCGTCTGGGGTTCTCCTGTTCCAAATAAACATTGCGTTGGACATTTCCGCTCCCTGTTCTCACACCGTCTCATGACCTTGGCGGCGTGGGGAGGGAATCTGGGGACATTGTATTAGAGTGTGGAGTCGATCACCCCTCAAGGACAGAGAACAGAGTCGATAATGCAAATCACATAGTGAGGTTTATTGCTCCACCTAGCTGGGATCCGAGTATCCGCCCGACACAGCGGGCTTCAACAGGACCCCGAGCACTAGGTTCAGCAAGTTCTTATACTTTCATTTTAGCAAGTAAACATCGCTCAACAATTTTCTATTACTACACATATATTTTGTTGTTGTTGTTTTGGACAGCAACATCCAGCCCACCTCCCTGACAATTACATTTCCGAGACTTAATCTTATTCCAGAGATGTGATCTTTGACAAAAGCATCTGGTTTTTCTGCTTTTCTTGTTCCTGGAAGAGGCCTAAGTCACTCAGAGCCTGTCATGGCAGTTCTCCAGCTAAGAGAGTCCTAACATTATGAGCTAGGGTCCAAGACCCCACTGATGCAGCAGCCTCAGGACAAGGACCCTGACTCTAGTTTCAGAGGGCATTCTATAGAATACAGTTACATAAGCCATTCATTCTCTGCAGTTAACAAAAGACAATTTCTGGCACCTGGTGATTGATTGGGCCCACTTGCTGGGCCCAGGAACTTTCCAGGTGGGGTCAGGTTGGCTAGTTAAGCATTGTCTGATTTCTGGGAAACCGAAACGGTTTCAGTTCCAGGAACTGAACCTGGGACCGAGCTGATTTTCTCATTTCTGCTCCCTGTCATGGCGTTGCCGTTGCTTATGGGTGTGGCTCATCTCTTCACGGGTAGAGGTAGAGCTAAGGTTAGGGTTAGAGTTAGGGTTAGCGTTAGGGGTATGGGTAGGGTTAGAGTTAGGGTTGGGGTAGAGTTAGGGTTAGGGGTAGAGTTAGGGTTAGGGTTAAGGTTAGGGGTAGGGGCAGGGGAGTCCCTAGGGAGTCAGCACCAGATGTGTCTCAAGCGCAGGAAGACGAGGCCTGGTTCATCTGCACTTGGTTCTGGGATTCAGTTCAGACTCCATGAGTAACATGGGTCACCCATGCTGTAGCCCTCCAGGCTCCCCAGGCTTTCCCACTCAAATGCCTAATCCAGGGATGGGCTAATCCAGCCCTGGGAATCCCTGGAACTTGCCGGGCCCTGAGGTGTCCTGGTGACTCCGCTGCGGGATACTTGGGCTGGAACATCTCCCGACCAGAATGCAGCCTCTGGATCCCATCCAGATGCTTCTCTCGGACGCCACATGACCACTTTGCTGCTCTCATAGTGGTCACTCACTTGGTCTGGTCATGGGTGGAGTGATGGCCGATGGTGTCCTTGTGCTGTAGGTATGGACTGCAGGCTAAATGTCCGCCCATCCCTCACCCCGACCCCCAGCAGAGCTGATGGACAGCTCAATGGACCAGGCTGACTCAGATGACCAGGGCTGAAAATTGGCGACCAATGACCCTGAGATTACCCATGTGAGAAGTGAGGGCCACCTTCCCGACTGTCCTGGAGACATGTAAGTGACTGAGTTAACTCCTGACACTGGGATCCGTTCTCCCCTGCCCCAGACGAGACTCTGGAGAAGGCTGTGATGGTGGAAAGATTCCTGGCTCAGGTGGTTATGAGGAGATGCATTGGTTGGTTCATTTCACAGATGAGGAAGCTGAGGTCAGTGGTCTGGGCCCTGAAGAGTCACGTGTCCCTGGTCTGCTTCTGACCGTGTCTCAGGGTGACATGTACCTTTGGCTGGGACTCCTCAGGATCGACATTTTCCAGCATAACACAACACTTTGATCACTCGGCCTTCATGTGGACACCTCCCTATTTCCCCTTCCAGCCCTGGGGAGACCCTAGTACTCTGCCTTCCACACGCATGCACGCTTGGTCCCCTGGGGAGTCCTTCACCACCAGTTCTGGTCTTGCTGGCTCTGGCACATGGACTGACCTCCCCCACCGCACCCCAGCCCCCGTGGCTCTCACTCCACGGTCTCATCAATGCTGTGAAAGTTGCTCTGCCGCCTGGCCCCTCGCCAGTGCTCCAATGGTGGGTGCTCCAACCCTTACAGACTCCCAGCAGCCCTGGGCACTTCCCGTCGCCTGAGTGGGCCTCGTAGGCGTCCACCTTTGTCTCACTGCTGCCCTCAGGCTCATCAGCGCCTCCAAAGGTTTCCTCTAACTGGATGCACTTCCTCCAGGCTCCATCAGTGTCCACCTCTGTGTCTGGACAGACATAGCCCTTGGCGGGAGTTTTCTCTGATCTGTCAGCTTAGGTACCTCATGTCCAACTCTACATCCTCTCCAATGTGTTCTGCTTTACCTTCCTTCAGATCTCTGGTCACTGGGGCTTGTCCTCTGAAAGCCTCGTGTCTTTCTCTGGTCGTGTGCCAACAGCGTCACTAACTCAACTACCTAGTCCACTACGGGGCTGGTTCTTTGCCCCCAAGATGAACCACAGTGGGCATCTGTGCCCTGAGGGGTGGCTGCACCCTCTGGCCAGCCTGTAACAGTGTTCCCTCTGCTGCAAAGCACTGTAGGGAGAGTCCAGGTGCTCTCTGGGCACTGCCCAGGAAGAGTTGCTTGAGGGAGTGGAGATGATTCCTCTCAGCAAAGGAGTTGAAAGCGGCTGAGGCTGGTCGAAGCCTCCCTTTCAGCGAAGACCCCGGCCCATCTTTCTTCCAACCCTCGCCTAGTTTTGGGGTGACTCAGACAGAGTGAGGAACAGTGGAGGGAGAGGGGAGCGATGCATCAGTCGGCAAGATGCCGGAGTGCGACCCGTGGATGCCTTCTGCAGCTCCTCCGTGGACCCCCACCAGGACAAATCTGGCTGCGTCCCAGGTCCCAGGCCCAGAAGTGGAGAGGACCCTAGAGTCGGGGCGGCGCCCACCATCATCACTGGGAGGAAGAGCAGGATCTGGGGGCACCAAACAGCAAGGGGTCCGCAAAGAGGCGCTTTAAACGACAGGCAGTGGCAGGCACTGTCCCTGTCCCTTCTCTCCGAGCGGACGCCTGAGAACAAGGGACTCGCTTTCTGAAACACTGATCAGGCGGAGGCAAATCAGCTGCCCCGTTGCCAAGGTTTGGCCTCTGTCTCCCTGCCCAGCTCCCCCCTAGACACTTCCAGGTCAAGCCCAGCTGTCTCGGGGCCTTCCGTCCCAAGAGAGTCACTGACGCCCCCTGCAGCAGCCAGCCCCTGGTCACCTGGCTCCCTCCCCCTCAGCCTGTCTCTCGCTCTGGCTGTGGGTCCTGTGGCCTGGGCACCTTCTCTCCCACAATCCGAGGCCGGCTAGTGCTCTGTGTGCCGTGAGCATGTGTGCTGGTCTGCCTGCGGTCTCCTGAGCACAGCCCCAGCCTCACCCAGTCCGGTGTCTTCCTGGTGTCCACCTGGACCCCCAAGTTGACACTGAACTCAGAGAGCAGACCTCGGTGCCCACTCTCTCCATTCTGCCCACTGCAGGTCTCTCCCTGACTCCCTTTACCGTGCACACATGCACACACACGGTCACACAGGCACACACAAGCCTGTATGTTGGGTGCACCCCCACGTTCTGAGTATCGACTCCTGTCTCTGGGAGACACCTCAGAGTGGGAGAAAACCGGCGACTTTCTCCACCCAGAAGTGCCTCCCCTTGCCCTAGACGGTGGAGAGGACCCTAGAGTCAGGGTCCTCTGAGCCCAGGCCTGGGACCTGGGCCTCAGCCAGATTTGTCCTGGTGGGGGTACACGGTGGGACTGCCCTTCCCTCCCTCCGGGGTCTGCCTTTTGTCTGGTCTGCACCAGCAGGCAGGGACCCGGGGACCCTGGGGCCAACCAAGGAGGGAGGACCAGAAGGGGTCACAGTGCGTTCTCTGGTCTCTATCTCCCAGAGCATCAAGGCTGGGAGTTCTTGAGGGAATCCAGAGCTCTGAGTGCCAGGCTCCGAGGAAAGGGCACTGTGTCCGGGCTAGTGCCGGCAGTGCGTGCACCCCCCCCCCCCCCATCATGTCAGCTGAGGCCCTGCCAGGCCCGACTAATGGAGAGGGAGGGAGGCTGTGCGCGCCCACGCCCCAGGAACAGCCGGCCGTTCCTGCCGCCCCGGCAGCTTTCATGTGGGGGAGGGGCGCGGTGGCACCCGCCAGACCCCCGGCGCGGGCTGGCGGTGTCGGGGGCTCCTGCCTCCAGCCTCTCTGCACCTACGTGGCCCCTGCTTCCTGCTGACCACGGGTGGCTACGCAGGGTGGGCTGGACCGAGCGGGAGTGGCCTCCACACGCGGCCACCCAGGCTTCTCCCTAGGACACTGTCCCTCTGCTGACCGGCCCCCCAGAAAGGCCCCCTGGAGGCCTCAGACGTGGCCCCACTCCCACCCAGCCCCTCCCACCCAGGAAGGCCAAGAGGGTGGTGACCCCCAGGGAGGAGGACAGTGGCCGCAGGCTGAGGGGGGACAGCGAGAGACCGGCCGCTGGCTCTCAGGCGGGGCTCCCGGAACACAGGTCCCTGCTCTCGGGGTCTCAGGGACGGTCCCACACCCCCACCCAACAGTCTCCCCGGGGCCGGACCCCTGGGCAGAGACGACGGTGGAGCTACTCTGGGACCCACCGCCCTCCTCACACTGCCCCATGCAGCTGCCCCGCCGAGGCGGGAGGCGGTGACTGTGCGTGGTCCCCAAGGTGGGACTTCTCCTTCTGGAGGGTCCCCAGTTGTGCTCCTGCCCGGCTGCCGGGGCTGGGCCCAGTCAAGCATCTTTGCGGAAGCCCCTGCCCCCAAACTGATCCAAGTCCCCATGACAGCTGTGAGGGGCCGCTGTGGGGCGGGGGTCCCGGAAGGGGCTGGGGGGCGCTGGGCCGAGAGCTGGGAGTTCTCATCCTTTGGGCCCAAGACCTCAGCCCAAGTGTGGCGAGCGGAGGGCATGACAGGAGAGAGAAGCTTCTGGAAGCACAGGGAGGTGTGTGGGGGCGCAGGGGGACTGGGCAGCGGCCCGTGGTCTTCTGCTGGATGCCTCTGAGTCAGGGGCGCAGGAAGCTGCAGAGCGGGGAGGGCCTGTGGGCGGGAGCCGAGACTGCCCGAGGCCCTGGCTGCCCTTCCGGCTTTGCCCCCGGCAAGGCCAGGCGGTGACCATGGGTGCGGGACCTGGGCTCAGCACAGACCCCGCCATGGGCCAGCTGCTCCTGCTGCTGCTGCTCCTGCTGCCGCTGCCGGGCCTGGAGGCCCAGAGGAAGAAGACCGTGCGGGTCTTCATCGTGCCGCACAGCCACATGGACGTGGCCTGGAGCCAAGTAGGTCGAGGGCCGTCCTGAGGGTGCAACAGTTTCCCTATGGACGGCCAATCTGGGGGTTTCCTTTCGGGGGGTAGCCCCACGCCGAAGCCTCAGTTTTCACACGTGCGCTAAGGGCCAAGCCGTGTCCTGGGTCAGGTCAGACACCGTGCCGGGCTTGGGCACCAGCATGGGACCAGCGAGCCCCGAGCTGCTGTCCCTCTGCTGCGCCTCCATCAGTAGGGCGAGGGGCCCTTCTTGGGCAGAGCAGAGCAGGTCTGTCTGCGTGTGGCGAGCAGGGCCGCCAGCGAGCCTGAAACAGACACACGGACAATAAGACTCCCGAGGGGCCTCCAGCAGGCCGGGCCCCCTGCTCCCAACCCGCCGTCCTGACCCAACACCTACTGCTGCTGTGCCTAGGCTTCCCCTCAGGTGAGGCGCCATGGGCAGCTCCATCCTTGGGAGCGACTCGGTGGCATGGCAGGTGCTCCACGGATGTGTGGGCGGGTGTGTGCGTGCGTGCATGAGTGGGTGAGTGAGTGAGAGAGTGTGTGTGCATGAGTGAGCTTGTGTGTAAGTGTGTGCTTGAGATTGTGTGTGTGCATGTGCATGAGTTTGTGTGAATCTGTGCATGAGTTTGTGTGTTAGTGTGTGTGAGTTTGTGCGTGAGTATGTGTGTGTGTGTTTGTGTGTGCATGAGTGAATGTGTATGTGAGTGAGTTTGTGTGTGAGCATCTGCATTAATGAGTTTGTGTGTGTGCGTGAATTTGTGTGTGTACATGAGTGAGTTTGTGTATACATGAGTTTGTGTGTGTGTGCGCATGAGTGGGTTTGTGTGTGTGCATGAGTGAGTATGTGTGTGTGAGTGAGTTTGTGTGTGAGTGTGTACATGAATGAGTGAGGGAGGGACGGAATGACTGAGAGACAGTGAGTTACTGTTGAGGAGTGCATGTGAGAAAAGAGGGTACACAGAAATCAGGAGAAACTGCCTTAGTGGGAGACTGGGCGCCACTGTAGACCAGTTTGAGATCTGGGCAGAGGAACCAGGTTGCATCACGGAGGGCGGCCTGGTAGAGGCGGCAGGGACAACCGCAGGGCCCAGGCGCTGGGCAGCAGCCCCTGCATCAGCTCTCTGGGTCATCGCCCTCAGCTTATGCCAATGTGTTGCCACTGCAGTTTCTTTCCGTGGACCAGTAGGAGGCTGAATGGCCTGACACGGGGGTCCCTAGGCCCTCTGAGCCATCTGTGCAGTGACCTCCGCCCGAGGGAGCTGTGGGTGCTGGGGGGAGTAGAGGTAGGCCGGTCAGACTCGGGCCTTCAGGCCCTGAGATGGTGTGGCCCTGATTTCCTCCTCGCCTGGGGCCGGTGTGCCTGATGTGGCTGTGGTCTCCTGCCCAGGATGACATGGCGACCTACCTGGACATCTACTCCTCCGCAGTGACGGCGCTGATGCAGGCACCAGAACGCAGGTTCATTGTGGCCGAGCAGGAGTACTTCCGGCTGTGGTGGGATAATGTTGCCACAGCAAAGGAGAAAGACCAGGTAGGTGCCACACTCAGGGGTGCAGTGGGGCGAAGTCTCCTGTCACCCACCCAGTAGATGTGGCGGCTCAGGTGGGCAGAGCACCAGACCATCGTTCCTGGAGACAGGACCCTGGACTCAGTCTCAGGGTGGGGATGTACCAGGTGCTCACTTAAACACTGCCCAGTGGCAACTCAATCAATACGGTTTGAGGAAGGAACTGCAAATACTCCAGCTTTATTGTTTTTTGTCTTTTTCTTTTTGGGTCACACCCAGCAATACACCCCTGTATTAGTCCTGCTCATGCACTCAGAAATTACTCCTGGCAATGCTCAGGGGACTATATGGGATGCTGGGAATCGAACCGGGGTCAGCCACATGCAAGGCAAACGCCCTACCCTCTGTGCTATTGCTTCAGCCCCTACTCTAACTTTAGACAATATGAAAACTCCGTCTGTAAAGAGGCACCCAACTATTCCTTGAGAATCATTTGTGTTTATATGTTCCTGGTTCTGTAATATATTCACAAGATAAGGAACCTGGGGAATGAGGTGGACCAGCCACATGCCATTGTTAGGGCACGGTTCTGGATCTCCGACCACAGACAAGGACCACACAGGAACGCAATCAGCAAGCAGGCCGTTTATTGAGCTGGCTAGCCAGTGTCGTGCACACGCACACAGCGACGCCCAGGTCCCGTGTGAGAGGCAGACCCTGACCCAAGGTTCAGGGGTTACTTACATAGGCCCAAGTCAGCCGTTACAGCAGATTGAAGGTCACAATTTATGTAAGTGCCCACTCCGGGCTTCACGCAATATCTGGGTCCGAGGGCTGAGCCTGGACCCGTGACAGCCATCTGTTTCATAGCTCAGGGGCCTGTACATTCCTCCTGGAACAAGCAGATAGTAGAGACCAGAGCGGAAACTTTACTATCCTCATTGTCCTTGGTCCATTGTACAGAGGGCAGGAATGATAGTCCAGCGGGGAGGGTATTTGCCTTGAACGCAGCCGACCTGGGTTAGATCCCCATCATCCCATATGGTTCCCTGAGCACTGCCAGGAGTGATTTCTGAGTGCAGAACCAGGAGTCACCACTGAGCCTCGCTGGGTGTGACCCAAAAAGCCAAAAAAATAACAATAATTAATAAAAAAGACCCTTTAAAGCCCATTGTACAAATCCCCAAACCTAGCCCGTGTGCTTCCAAATGATCGTGTCTGTGAACAAGAAAGGCTCATGGGCCTTTGTAACCAAAGGATACAGAGAGATTTGGCAAGTAACACAAACATATGATGTGAATAAAACCCTCCACCAGAGAAAAGACATTAGAAGGACGTGAGCTGAAATGAAAACAGAGTGTGCACATCAACGCTGCAGCTTTAGTATTAATAACTACTAGATTCTCATCATTGGACCGATGCCTTTATTACTGCCATGAAAACCAAACACATGCAGAGGTTTGAGGGAAGGAAGCTGTTATTCGGCCTTTGAAATGCTTCAGAAAAAGTAACTCAGCATAAGAGAAAATGGGCTGGTGTCATGTCACATAGATAATACGGACAAGGATGGTTGAATCTGCACAAAAGGCTCAAGGATGGTCCTGTGCTGTGCCCCACACTCACGAGGCATGGGTCCTCGGAAGGACCCATTCACGGGCCTGTCTAGGGAAACGGAAGCAGCAGCCTGGGCAGGGCACTGCCCGCTGGCGGGACAGTGTGGGGGCCAGGATGGACCCCCCTGCATTTTCAGGGTGAACGGTGTGAGGGTTGGAGGGAAGGCACCCAGAGATGAGGCGGGTGCGTCCCAGCCTTGGGGTCGTCACTGGCTTTTTCTGTGTTCCTGCTATGCCAAGGTCCGTCAGCTCCTGAACCAAGGACGCCTGGAGTTTGTCACAGGCGGCCAGGTGATGCATGACGAGGCAGTGACACACGTGGATGACCAGATCCTACAGCTCACAGGTGGGTTCAGCGGGCCTCAGCAGAGTCCTCAGGCCTGCCTTGGGGCTAGGACACGAGGAAGCAGCTATAGAGACAGTGGGACTTTCCTTGTCCCACCCACGAACACAGGTGCTGAGCAGTGGGGCCCGTGCATTATCAGCTGACCCAGGCTCTGCTAATCCCTGACCCTGATTCAGGAGAAGGACCAATGTGCACCTCATTTCCTCTTACAAAATCCAACGGATGGCATTCTCTTCCTTAAGGCTCATGCATGGATGCTGAGATATTATTTTAGTATGATCTTTTGAATGCCAGTGATATGTTGCTCCGCCCTCAAGGTCCGCCCTCTCATCTGCAAGGCGTTTAGCTGAGAGAACGTTCTGGGATCCTCGATGCTGCACTTTGGGGAACATCTTCCTCACAGAGAGCTGTGGGAACTTTCTTCCCAATGCCTCACGCCCTGATTGTCCTGATGGTCGCTGGGATCTAGGATTCTGCATGGGGCTGAAGAATAATGCGGGTGGAGGGGGCGGGGGGGGGGGGAAGGGAGAAAGCAGGGAAGAGGCAGGGAGAGAGAGGGGGAGTGAAAGAAAGAGAGTGAGGAGAGAGGGAGAGAGAGACAAGGAGAGAGAGACAAGGAGGGAGAGAGGGAGAGAGAGGGCAAGAGAGGGAGGGAGAGAGACAGGGAGAGAGGGAGAGAGAGACAAGGAAAGATACAGGGAGAGAGAGAGGATAAGAAACAGGGAGAGAGAGGGAGAGAGAGGGAAAGCGAGCTCACTCATGGGCTTCCCCAGAGGGAGGAAAGCAGGAAAAGGCCTTTTCTCTGCATTGCCTGGGCTCAGGCTCTTCGCATAGGCGGGGTGAGTGTCGCAGGGTCGCCTTGGGCCTTCCCTGTCCGGAGCACGCCCTTGGGGCCCCCTCCCTCTCTGCCTGCAAGGGAATTACCACACAGGTTAATTTGGAACAGAATCATCAGCTGTTGCTGATCTGTGGTCTAGAACCATCTGCGAACCCCAAGTCATGCCTCCTGGGAATAACGCCCAGGAGCGTGTGTGAAAGGAGACAGCATCGCATTTGTCCTGTTTGTTCTTCTGATATAAATATTGGGTGTTGGGACAGCTCCCTCTTGTGGAACTTTTATCTTTAAAAAAGATACTTTTTTTCTTTTGTTTTTGGGTCACACCCGGTGATACTCAGGATTTACTCCTGGCTCTGCACTCAGGAATTACTCCTGGTGGGCTGGAGCAATAGCACAGCGGGTAGGGCGTTTGCCTTGTACACGGCCGACCCGGGTTTGATTCCCAGTATGCCATATGGTCCCCTGAGCACCGCCAGGAGTGATTCCTGAGTGCAGAGCCAGGAGTGACCAAAGAGAAAAAAAATAAAAAGGAATCACTCTTGGTGATGCTCAGGTGACCATATGGGATGCGGGGGATAGACCTGGATTGACCTGCGCAAGACTAGTACCCTCCCCACTGGATTATCTTTCTGGGCCCTGGAATTTCTATCTTTAATGTTTTGAGGAATCTTCAGTTATTTTCATAGGAATTCGCACCCCCCTCCCCCTACCCTGGGCACCTGCCTCTCCCTGACTCCCCCCACCCTGGGCGCCTGCCTGTCCCCCACTCCCTACAGACACTTCCTTTCACTGCACATCTCCTGTTTCACACCATTTTCACAGGTGTGAGATGTGAGCTTACTTTTGCTTTGCATGGCTTCTAAATGAGAAATGAATATCTGTTCATAGGCCTATTGGCCTGTTTATTTCTTCTTGGAAAGCCAAGCATTAATCACTGGCTCCAACATTCCCTAGCAGCTGTTCTCCGAGGCGGAATGAGGTAAGTCGGGGATCAGGAAGCAGATGAAGCCAGAGGAAAAGGCTGAAACACTCTCCACAAATAATCGAGTGGGCATCTGAGGGGACAGTGTGACAAACAAAGAGGCCCTTGTCTAGCTGGGGGTGTACCCAGTCCCTCACACGCACAGGCACATTGTGCAGGCCCCCGGGCATCCACGGGTTGCTTGCGCCGAGTCCCTTCCTCTGGGGACCTGTGGCACCCGGGGTACAGATGAGCACCCACCCAACGGCCACCCCACATGCCGCCCTGGGGCCCCTGCACGCCAGCTGGCTGCCTCCCACCTGCCAGAGTTAGGATCAGATGTTTAGAAAATCAACCCTTCCTGAGAAGGTGGCCTGGGGCAGTGGGCTGAAAGGCCCCTCTGTGCTCCCCCAGGGGCACGGCCAGGTGTGGAGAGGCCCAACCCCTGCCCTTGCCCCTGCCCCTGCCTGCTCACTTCCGCTCTGGGCGCCCCCTTCCACAGGACCAGGAAATGGCCCAGAGGCCATTCTCACTGCCAGGCTGGGCTGGGCTGGTTTCTACTTCCTGACTGCTTTGTGGCCTTGGGGACATGTCTTCAGAAAAAAAAGAAAGAAAGAAAGAGTGATGTATTGGCTTGCAGTAAGATTATTAGTAGTTTCGGGGCTGGAGCACAACAGGTAGGCTTGCACGTGGCCAACCTGGGTTCAATTCCCAGCATCCCATATGGTCCCCTGAGCACTGCCAAGAGTAATGCCTGAGTGCATGAACCAGGAGTAAGCCCTGTGCAATGCCGGTTGTGACCCAAAAACAAACAAAAAAGATTATTATTAGTTTCTTCTGGCTGGAGCGCCACCACAGCCCTGCTGCAGTAGGGCAGTTGCCTTTGGCGCATGGCCAGCCCGGCCGAGACGGGTTCAATTCCTCCGCCCCTCTCAGAGAGCCTGGCAAGCTACCGAGAGTATCTCGCCCACATGGCAAAGCCTGGCAAGCTCCCCATGACGTACTCGATATGCCAAACACAGTAACAACAAGTCTCACGTTGGAGACATTACTGGGCCCGCTTGAGCAAATCGATGAACAACGGGAGGACAGTGCTACAGTGCCACAGTGGATGGCTCATTCACATCCTCTGCCCATTCAAAAAGATTTTTGCTTTATGATAAAGCAAAATATTGTCATTTAAAAACAATAAGAGAGAAGAGGTGTGTGTGTGTGTGTGTGTGGTATGTGCTTAAGAGAGAACGGACTTTCTCAGGAATGAAAAAGCCCCCCAGTGGCTTTTGGGAGAGGCCATTTATAATTCCCTCTAATTGTCCTGGCCCTGAGTTCATCTGAGGTTGCCACAGGGAAAGCCTTGGGTTCATGCTGGTCCCCTCATCTTCTGGTCCTGACCTTAGGGAGAGCTTTCCTTCTCTGGGCGGTGCTTCCTTTGCTCCAAAGAGCTCAGGATTTGGGCTCCTTCAGGGCCAGGCAATTTCTTCTTCAAGTTTTATTATTTCCCAAAGCTAATTCCCTGGGTCTATTCCCAACGTTCCCCTCCTAGAGATTTCACCCCTTTAAGTCTTTGAGGGGTGGGAGGGGGCAGGTCCATCTTCCCTAAATTTCTGCTGCCTCTGCCTAAGGGAGTTAATGGTCCTGCTCGCTCTGTCTTAGTGGGGCTCAGACAATGCTTTCTTGGGTTTCAGAGTTGCCAGTCTGAAAGGGAGATCAGAGAGATTAGATTAGAAAAGCTTTCTCTGACCCAGGGAGAGCCATGGAAGAGAATAAGGTGGTAACGTCCAGTCCAGTCCGTCATACACCTTTTTGATCCTTTTGTTTTCTGCTGTAAGAGAGATTGTTAAGCTCCTGCTTTGACTGACACTTAAGTTCATTTTCATTTTCATTTCATCATCCCGTTATTCGTCGATTGCCTCGAGCAGGCCCCAGTAATGTCTCTTTCATCCTAGCCCTGAGATTATATCAAGGCTCTTTAGGAGAATGAGACCCATCATTGTTACTGGTATTTGGCATATTTGGTACGCCACGGGGAGTTTGCCAGACTCTGCCCTGTGGGCAGGCTACATTCGATAGCCTGCAAGTTTGTCCAAAGTAGGAATGAGATAATAAGAAGTCATAAAAAGATGTCCTGATATGATGTTGCACGGCCGCTAGTGTGGCCGCGCGGTTCCGGGAACTGGATTTTATAGTCTCTGAGTCTTGGCCGCTGATGGGATTACACGGCGCCAGGGGGCCAGGTGGTGGGTGTGACCCCCGCCTACTGGAATTTGGAGGATCTGGGTGGAGGATGCTCGACTCCAATCCGATTAGGCTTGGAGGTCTCGGCCCCGGAACCCGCGTGGATTTGTCCCTCTGCCAGTACCTTCATGTGTGCGGAGAGTGGTCTCAGCATGGTGGTGGCTGGTCCTGGAGGTCTTCGGCTGCCGGAGCCCTGGTCAGGGTGGGGAGGAAAGCTCAACCCGCTCCCCTCCAAGGGGCCCAGGCGAGGAACTTAAGTTCCTCGACACTTAAGTTAATAGACAAATAACTTACCTTTTCGCGTTGGCTTTCTTTTCTTTCTTTTCCTTGGTTTTTAAAAAGCTGGTTTACTTGTTTTGGGGACACACCAGCAGTGCAAATGGCAAAGGGCTTACTTCTTGCTCTGTGCTCAGGAATCACTTAAGGCTGCACTTGGGGCACGCTGTGTGGTGCCAGGGAATGAAACCCAGGTCAACCAGGTGCAAAGCAAGTACCCTGCCCTTTGCCCTACCACTCACACCCATGTTGGGTTTTCTTCCACAGAAGTTTTAAGTCCTCAGTGGGTTCACAGCAATAGTTTGATTCACTTCTGTCTGAGTTGGATCATGGGAACGAGTAGATGGAGCTGACTTTTGCCTGGTGAGATGAACCCAACTAGAAATTCCATCAAGTTTGCAGCAGTGAGGGTGCTTCAGAAACTCGGCACGGGGCACTGGATGGCGGGATGCCAGCCATCAAGGCAGCTTCCATGAAACTAGCAGTAGTGGATCTGAAGGATCCAATTTTCCGGGTAAGTCCCAGCCACCAGGTCAGTCAGGGCTACCTCCCTAAGGGGTGTGGCATGCCAGCATTCATCACAGGCAGATAGATGGGAGCCCTGGGAATGAGCTTTGGGAGATAATGTCAAAAAGAAATTGCCCTGCCCCGAAGTAGCCCAAAGGCAAGAGGAACCTATCCCTGTGGGAT